CCCCCTCCCCGGCATCATTAGCACAGCACGCTCACCCTCCTCGCGTACACCCGCATGCGTGCTGGCCCATCAGCTCCATTCACAGCCATGCAGGCTCGCACTGTTTCATGAAGATCCTTGATGGCGCGCTGATTGAACAACTTTTTGAAAAGCCCGAAGCTGTCCAGGTACCACATGCTCTCTTGCTCTAGTCTTTGACTTTGCCGTGGTCGTCGCTCCATTATGCTCATAACCGCCCTGCACCCAGGAGGGCCAGCCGTTGGATATTCAAGCGGAAGCTCGCGCCAGTGAGAATGACAACATTTACATCAACGGTGCGTCCTTGCATTTCAGCCCGCTGCCTGCTCTTGTGGCTCGCTCTCTGCTCTTTTTTTTTTTCGAGTGCGCTCACCTCGTCTCCTGCACACCCTTTCCTCGCCTCTCATGTACGGCATGGTCTGCACTGCAGATGACCTTGGCATGCATCGCGTGATCAACCCATCACACACCAAGCGGGCCGTCAGCCTGCACATCTACTCCCCACCTTACAACGTAAGCATGCCTGCCCCAAGCCCATCTTCCAGCGCGCACCGCTCTTTTGACGTGACATGCCTCCCCGTACAACTAACCCACTCCAACACCGTGGCCCTGCAGGAGTGTCTCTGCTATGATGAACGCACTGGCCAAGGTCGAAAGTCCGGAAAAATCACCTTTTTCAGCAAAAATGGTCAGCTGTGCGATGATGAATGGGATACCAACATGGGCCAGGAACCCGACTACTGCTAGCACCCGCAGAGGGCCGTTGCCGATCATTCCCCGCGATGCGTCCGTTGGACGACCTCTCCCCTCCCCCGCCCCTCAACGAGTCTTTTGAGGAGGTGATGATGTTCTCTCTCCCTCTCTCCTCTCTGATGTCAGCTCGAAATGTCAGAATTTTGTGACACAGCCCTTACGCTGAGCGTAGTTCCTATTTCACCAATTAATTTTGATATTAAAACTCTTCCGTTTCAATACACAACTGCATTTCCTTGACAACCCCGGAAGCGCCCGACAAGCCGACAGCCGCTCTCGCCTCCTCCGGCCCGCTCCTCAGCTCCGTTTCCTCTAGTCCGGCGTGTGCCTGTGGCGCTGCTTGAATCTCAATCGCCAAGATGGCTGCCGAGCTCCAGCTTATCGGAACTACCGGCTTTGGCGGTACGTGGCCTGCTCGATCGAGACCGGTTGCCACTGCCCCGGCAGGCTCAGAGGCCAGCTCACAGCTCCAAGCAACCAGGCTCGGCCGAGCTGAGCCGGGCAGCAGCTCGCTGCTCTCCATCCTCGCGCACCTGCTTTTCATTTGATGGCGCTCTACCCCTCACTCTCTCCTTCGTTGGCCTCGCTCCCGGGACTCTTGGCAGGCAAGATCCACGAAGGCCTCAAGCTGCACCCATCAGGCAATTTCCTGATCTACCCCCTCGGTACGTACTGAGCCGTGCTCCGACCCAGAGCCATCCGATCTGTCGCCGACAGCCTCGCCCAAACCTCAGCTGTTTGCCCCTTAAGGCTGCTCCACTGGCCGGCCCTCACCCATAAATCGTCTGACTGACCGCAGGCTGCACTGTTGTTGTTGAGGCGGTTGGCGATGCTGCCGAGCAGACGGTATGTCGCTCATATCAAATCAAGTCCAGGCTTGCCCGCCTCTGCTGGCCACCTCACAGCACTTGTCTCAACCTTGCGCTGCACCTTTTGTTTGCATGAACAGTTTTTGCAAGGACATACCGATCATGTATCCTGCCTTGCCGTCAGCAAGTCAGGCCGTTACATCGCGTCAGGCCAAGTGACCCATCCTGGTTACAAGGCGGATGTCATTGTCTGGGATTTTGAGACCCGAACCCGTGTTCACACCCTAAGCCTCCATCAGGTATGTTTCGGTTCTTACTTTTTCTTTTCACTTGCAATGTCACGCCAGGCCCGAGTTTGGTTTAATCCTTCGGCCCAAGCTCACTGGCGCACCCGTGTGCATAGGTTGAGGTCATTGACCTTGCCTTCTCCCCCACGGAGCGCTTCCTACTGACCCTGGGTGGCATTGACGATGGCTCGCTCGCCCTCTGGGATCTGCAAACTGGCAAGGTCAGATATAGCCAGCCACCTGTGACGAAAGGGAATGATCTTTTTCGCTGCCTTGCTCGGCGCAATGATCTTTTTCTGCTGCCTGGCGCGCCTGATGCTAGCTCCTGCTTTGTTGTTTCAATCCTCGCCATCATCCACCTTTCACTTGATGAAACCCCGTTTCTCCTCTTGCACGTGCACGGCATCGCTTGACAATTTAGGCTGTCGCGGGTCGCCCCACCAGTGACACGGCTGGGGGGCATGCCAAGAGTGTGGCCTTTTGCAATTCTTCTGACCTGACCTTTGTGTCAGCGGGCCATCAAACAATCCGCGTCTGGGATGTGCATCCTCACACGCTAGCACTCAACCCGGCCAACTGTGCCCTTCGCACCCTTCGCACCGTTTTCAACTCGGTCCTCATCTCCGACTCGGACCAAATGGCCTACTGCTGCTCTGAGCGTGGTGACGTTATCAGCGTGAGTCTACCCGCACCTTGTGCTGCCTGCCTCTCTAGCAGATGCCTGCGCCAGCCTGACCCTACCAGCTTGACGCTTACCTTAGATCAATATCGAGCACCGCGTGCTCAAAAACATTGGTCCAGAAAAAACCAAGTTCTCCCTTGGCGTCCAGACTATGGTGTTCCTTGATGATGGTGCGAACCCCGTGGTCGATGGCTCGCCTTCACTCTGTCGAATCTCACCCCCGTCTGGCCTTGAATCACACAGGCCACATGCTTATTGGTGCCGGAGATGGTACTTTGGCCGTTTTGACCACTGACACTTTCAAAGTTGTCAAATCCACCAAGGTTTGACACTGGCATCTTGCCTGTCTTCATGTCTTTGAAAAATTTCTCTTCGCCCCCATGCTGACTGCATCAAAATTTTATCGGAGTAGCTGGCCGATGGCATCTCTTCCATTGCTCTGCAAGGCAAGAAATGCTTTGTTGGCACACAAGGCTGCGACATCTTTGAGTAAGCATTGGCCGACTTTTTTCTCCCGCGCCCTTTTTCGTCCCCTCCGTCTCAATGTTCTCATCAAACACGCCAACTTCCCAGGCTCAACTTGGCCGATCTGTCAGTTCAGCCACGCGTCATTTGCGATCCTTCGGGCATCAATGACGTTGAATTTCCCTCGGAGAGCAGCGAGATCTTTGTTACCTGCTCCAACAACTCGATCCGCATTTGGCACACCCCGACCGGCAAGCAGCTCAAGAAGATTGAAGTGCCAGGCGTGACCTGCACAACCACTGCCATCCGCGCCGATGGCGCTCAAATCATCTCCGGCTGGTTAGTACCTGAGCCTCATTTGCCTTTTGTATACTTTCCACAACACTGCCCCTCAATTCTGTTGACTTGCGCGTGTAGGACGGATGGCAAGATCCGAGCGTTTGGTCCCGAGACTGGCAAGCTACAATTTGAGATCAACAACGCTCACAATAAGGGCGTCACCGCATTGGCGATAACTCACAACAGTGCCATGGTTGTTTCGGGTGGTGGCGATGGCCAAGTATGTGGTGCATTCTTCTTGCTTGCCCTGCGTAGTACCCCACTTCTCGAGCGTCGCTTGCACGCGCATGACTGCCTTCCTTTCACGCGCCTGTCTTGTGTCTGGCCTCGTTCTGTGTCATTTTTGGTGCGGCTTCACCGTCCAGGTTCGCTTGTGGCGCGTGGGTCCATCCACTCAGACTCTCATTGAGACCATGAAGGAACACAAATCAGCCGTCCGGGACATTCGCATCCGCCAAGACGACTCGGAATGCGTCTCTGCCTCGGCCGATGGCTCTTGCATTGTCTGGGATTTGCAGCGCTTTGTGCGAAACCAAGTTCTCTTTGCCAGCACTTCCTTTGCCCAAGTGCGCTATCACCCAGAGGAAGTGCAGCTCCTAACCGTCGGCTCAGACCGCAAGGTATCCTCCCTGCCCTTGATTCGCGGTGATCGAAACCTGTTTGTGGCGTGTAGTGTGGCCTCGCTCCTGCACCTTCCGCTTCAGCTGACACCCCCTTGACTTGATCGCTTCCGTAGGCTCATTACTGGGAGGCTTTTGATGGCTCGCTGATTCGCGAAATCGAGACCTCGACAGCGGCGCTCAATGCCCTGGATATATCGTCCGATGGCCTGCATTTTGTCGTCGGAGGCGACGACCGCCTGCTCAAGGTCTTTTCCTACAATGAAGGCGAACTGACACACATCGGCCAAGGACATAGCGACAACATCACCGCCGCGGCCGTGGACCCCTTCCAGCGGTATATCGTCAGCGTTACCGCCTCGGGCTCCATCTTCCGCTGGGCCTACCCCCACGAGCAGCTGGCGTAGAACGCTTGTGCAAATATTTGAGCTGCCCATGCTTTCTTGAATGCCAGCTTGCTTTGTTATTCGTCCCGCCTACTCCCACCACCATGACCTGCCTGCATCCCTACAATATTTGCCTTCCAGACATGAAATTTGCAAGTGTGACGAAAAAGAGGCTGCCTTGAACGCTTTGTTGACGTTGCAAGTGACTCGCAAAAGCGGTGCCTTGACTTTCAAATTGACTTGCATGACAAATAAATAAACGCAGTCCGGCATCAAGTGGACAGTGCCCCTTGGTTGGTGCGACTAGAGCAAACTTTGATCTGCTCGAGATGCAGCCGCCGACTCGGGAGGGAAAACACTTGTTAAATCCAACGGTCCATCCGTTTTGTACGCGTCGCGCAGATGCCACAGATTGCCTCCCGAACGTCCTATGGATGATGGCGGACGAACACGCAGATGGCTATCCATGAGAAGCGTGGTGTCCACTTCGACTGCGGTACTCACGCGTTCAACGTGTGGTGCAGGCGCGCTTTCAACGCACCACGAATCTCCTCACGACAGAGCTCCCGGAGCACAAACTTGAGCAGGCCCGATTTGCGGTCTGGCAAATTCTTGGCAAACTTGTTGATGAGCGTGGAAGTCGTCACAGAACCGCCCTTGCTTCGCACAAAGTTGCGCAGATCGTTCATCAGAGAAACGGCCGTGCGAGTCGAGCTCTCAGCAATGATGTTGCCATTCAGAGAACGAACGGTGCCTGAGAGGAAAGGTGGCAGTAAGAATGGGCTAGCCCATGACCAACAAATGCAAAGACGGTGCCAGATCCACCTGTACCTTCATTGCGAGAGCGCAGATCCTGCAAAAGGGAGGCACTCCCAGTTGCAGCTTTGCCTTGGTGCGAGCCCTGCAGACACAGGCCCAGCGCCGCCCGACGATCAGTTGGAGCTCAAATGCACGACCAGTCTCCACCCACCCCACATGGAGCAAACACATAGAGCGAGGGGGGCACCCACCGCTGTGACGCTGCCAAAACGTGGATTGCTCTGGCCTCCAGAGCGGCCAGTCCAAGTCAGGCCAAATGCGCTATCAAGCAGGATAACACAAGTCAAGTCGTTTGATTACGTGTGAGACCAAAGCGAGCCCACAAAGGCTTCACACCGGCCGGGAGGAAGGCAAAAAAGCGAACCGAGTTTGTTGTTGTGCTTCAGCAGCCGCTTTGCGTAGAATATCCGCTGCACGCCGAGCTTGCTCGTGTGCCTGAGAACACGGTCATCCAATCGACCGGGACAATTAGCACAATTTATGAGAATACCCGCACTGCACAAAAGCTTTCTCTGACAACACGCAATAAAACTCACGTGACGGTCAACTAGAATCGTTTCAGTGGCCCCGGAATCGACCACCTTATCGTGGCGTAATGCGCTGTGAATGCCTAGAAGCGAGCCATTCATCACTGAGCCCAAAAAAGGAAAAAAGAAGCAGGCTCACACGCGTGTACATGCGTATGATATTTGGTACCAATAAAGAGTGCTAGGCTCACCAGAAGTATGCAGCAGCGCATCCAAAACACGATCATCGCGGGCTCGTGGGTGAATTTGATCGCCTTCGGACAGAGTTGTTGCCTCACCCGTTGCCCCTGCATCCACCCGAGCCTGCGCTCCATATAACACATGAGGCATGAGGCCAGCTCGCGGATCGTGCCAGAGAGCAACAGCAGCAGCAAAAGCGTCAGTCAGACACCCTGCTCATGAGACTCACCACTTGGGACAAATCTGCCCCGTCCACCGTGGCAGTCGATGTGGATGCGGTTGCAGCAGCCTTTTTATTGCGTTTCGATGAACCCTTGCCATTGGCAGACGAGCCCTGAGGTTGGTGTACTGCCTCCTCAAAGAGTTGCCCTGTCTCCGTGATATCGGCATCATCGCTTCCCTGCACGCCATAATCAAATCCACCAGAACCAATCCTCTAGGGTACAAAGCCAAAATAGAGATCGTGCAAAGGAAAGGCAGCAACTTGAATCAAACAAGACTGACCAGGGTGAAGAGTTCATAGAGATCATTGGACTTGAAGAAGCGACGCTGCCGTGGATCCTTCAAGACCTTGTTACTCAACAGCTGCTTGAATACCTAGATGGAGAAATCAATTCAAAAGTCAGGAGACGAAGTGAAGTTGCCAGGCTTCACACGCGACAGTGTTGCCCCGTATGCTCCAGGCCAGGCATCTCCCGGCTTTGTGTGAGCTGGCATTTCGCATATTCGTCACACGAGTAGTTTCGTTTGTCTAAGATACATGCACCGACCTGTCGATGGTAGATCTTCTCCTCAATGGTGCCAGCGCACAAAAGGCGATATACTGCAACAGCACGCGATTGCCCAATGCGCCATGCACGCTCGCGCGCCTACTCAAGATCAGCAAGCACAATTAGGAACCCAACAAATTGAACGTAGCACAGGCATCGCAGCCTCCAAGTGGCAAGATTTTCACCGATGCAATCACACACACACACACACACACACACACACACACACACACACACACGTATGCACAAATATACCTGCACATCAGTAGAGGGATTCCAGTCGGGATCAAAGATGACTACTCGATCGGCGCCTGTCAAGTTGACACCCAGCCCGCCCACTCGCGTGGTCAACACAAACGTAAAGATACTGGGGTTGCTGTTGAATTGTGCAATGAGCGGCTGCCTTCGTTTGATAGAAGTCATGCCATCCATCCTGCAAATCATTGAGCACATAAATGAGTTGAGCCCTTGTTGAAGCTAAGCAACGCCTCTCGAACCTTGATTCGTACCTCAGGTGTGTATAGCCCTCCGCAACAACAAAATCCTCAATTAAATTGAGCATTTGGCGCGTTTGGCAAAAGATCAAAACTCTATTCTCCATCCAAGTGAATCATGAAGCTTGACACCCCTCCTACCGACCTGATCTGGCAAACAAACAGAAACCAAGCGAAGACAAACCGATTGCCATTCTGGTGCCATGCACGGAGTAGCTCTCGCAAAACCATCATTTTGCCACTCCGTTGCCACGGTAGGGGTACCTGCCAGTGCAGAAGCATCAAGCAAAAAAAAAACCCCCCAAACAAAATACCATGATTCTGAACACGACCAAAAAGCCTCAGCAAACGAGATAGTAGACTCACATCAGGATTGCTGTAATCCGGCGGCTCACAGATGGCCGTGGCAAGGTCAGGATGATTGCACACCTAAACCCATAGGAAAAAGAAATCGGGCCAAGGTTTGCAAGTCATATGCCGTTGTCATAGCATGGTATGGAGTGCTGAATAACCCCTTGACACGGCAGCAGACACGCGCAGCCCCCTTTTATTGACGAACCTTCTTCAGCACGTCGATGCCAGGCAGAATGCTACCCTCGCCATGCAAAATTTCGCTGACGTCTCGCGACCGCAGAAACCCCTGATAGAGTTCCTTCTGTTCCTCGGTGAGCTTGCAAAACAGCACCTAAGCGACAATTGCTGTGAGTGGTGGTCCTTGCCGGGTTGGGAGACTGAAAGAAGGCGCGGTCCTTCATCTTCAGGGGTGTTGCAGCGTTGCGTGGCTACCTGCTCGTCTCGGTCAGGAAGACAAATCTGAGCCTGAACTTCGTCCTTGGTGCGTGCGAGCAAGTAGGGCTTGATGGTATCTCGCAGGGCACAAGTACACTTGTAGGCCGCCTCCACCTGTAGTGCAGTGCAGCCATGAGAGGGGACGCGCTGTGGTAGTCATTGCGAGCGTGCTGAGTAAAGAACACCCACTTAACGTACCTGTGCCGAAGTAGCATTGGAGAATGATCCTCGCTGGATGGGCTGGTTGATTTCCAGTTCAAAGGTGGGTAAATCACTGAGTCGCCCAGGAAACACAAAATCAAACAAGGACCAGAGCTCCCTCAAATTGTTCTGAATGGGAGAGCCTGTCAAGATAAACCTGGCTCGGCCGACCATCGACAAGACCCGCAAATTTCCGGGCTGTGAGAAAAATCTCAAAACAAATCTCAAAGAGCAACAAGCATAGTGGTGAAACATACCGGTGGGGTGTGGGCACGAGCTTGGCCGCCAAGGTTTGACCTGCGTCCGGATTGCGAATCTAAAGCCGAACGAACACGGGTGTGTCAGGTCTAAGAACTCGCCAAGTTGAGGACGCGGTGTGGGTGGAGCGACTAACCCGGTGTCCCTCGTCCATGATGAAATAGTGCCAGTTGTGACGCTGCAGCTTGCTCTGCTGCACGCGCAGCTGTGAATAGGTCGTGATTAAAACATTTCCCGGGCCCGCGCGAGCAATCACGTCGATCAATGAACGCTGGCCCTCGTAAGTGCCTGGGGGAAGAAGCGCAAGAAAAGCCACGTGCATACAGCAGGTGATCCCGATATGTGGTGAGAAAACATGTGAAAAGCCGTTCTTCGTGACATCTCTACGACCCAGGTTCTGAAAAAACAGAAGAAGTTGGAGAAAATCGTGGCATGAGGACAGACTGACCACTTGAATGCAAGGCAGCAACACGGAATAATGGCCACCTAAAGCGATATGCACAACCCAGCCAAGCGGTAAGCGGCACACGCTGCTGCCAACGTTTTCGAGCTCGGCAAAAGTGACGCCTTGCAGAGACGAGCTAATCAGAGTTCCTCTCACCAGCGATGAAATTCGGCCACCCACTGGTGCACGACGGTTGCAGGGCAAACAATGAGAATGGCTCCGCAACATGTGCTGGACATGTGTTGACGTGTTGGTTTGGCGCGCGCCAGCCACTCAACCCCAATGCCATCAGGACGACCAAATTGGACGGCTGCCAGATAGGCAATGATTTGGATCGTCTATTATCGGGGCACAATATTTCCGTCAGCGTTCAAGGAAAGACACCACGCCAACAACAACGATAGTGTGAGGGAATCATGCCGATACACTCGACGATCAGAAAGTGGCTGAGAACCAAACTCCGACCTTGCCCAAGCCCATCTCGTCAGCCAAGATGCCACCCGCCTCCTGACAATGTAATTGTGCCATCCACTTCAAGCATGTCTGCTGGTACTCATACAGCCTATGGTCAAGCAAGTGCACCACGACGGTACAAATAAGGTGTGCCTTGATGGAGCAACACGCGTGTGCGCGCGGTGACAACGCATAAAATAAACAAGAGCAAGCCCGAGGCATGCGCCGGCGATACCGATTCCACAAAAACGCTGGGCAATAAATGTTCTCTTGAAGCTGGACCGGGGCCTCATCATATGACTCAACAGAAAACCTGAGCAACAAAAGAGCGCATGAGAGAACAGAAGCAAATTATGCACTGCAATAGCACCAACGAGCCTTTGTGCAGGCATGCTCATTGTGATGACTTTGTGCCAACCGCCGACTGTACTGACCACTTTTGCTCCACCAGTCGTTCATCTGGCAATCACAGCAGCAACAGGACATATCCGACATCACCAAAGATGAGCCGAGTGTCGTCCACAAAATACCACAGTGGGGGGAAAGGACAGGCACGCCCATGTCCTTGCGTAGCACGCGAGACAACGGACCGTCCAAAAGAACATTGTCGGCCAACTCGGCGCCCGTTTGTGTGCTCAGCCAGCGCCGCCACACTTCGAGGCGCCGCGTGTAATTTTTGATAGCACCATCATCGTGGAGCGCCTACACAATGTGCCTTGTCAACAAAGAAAACGGAAACCCTCCACAAGCAAATACTGAGCCCGCCTTGCCTTGGGAGCTTTGAGATCGGGGGCAGCAGCTGTGCCCAGGAGATCAGCCTGCTCGGCCAGTAGCTCTTGACGCTCTTCTTCGCCGTCCTCAGCAGATGAGCTACCCTTGAGCGCGTCCGTTTCATCCTCGCTAGATTCGCCCAGATTGGCGCTCGCAGCCTGCAAAGCACATTGTTCATATGAGGATCTCGACATGCCTGGCACGAACAGAAAGGCCCCGGCTTTGTTAAACTAGGTGGACCTTTTCGTTGTGTACGACACCCATCGCTGGGTAGCTGTGCGCATCCGAGCAGCACCTAGACCCACGCACCGTGAGATGACGGCCCTCATCCTCAGGATTCCAGCTGTCTTCTGGCTCTGTGATGTGAACGTTATCACTGCTATCCACCGAAAACGTGTCCTCATCTGGTCCAAGTTCAATCACCTCATCATCATCTTCTGCGCTTGCATCTGCCATGACTGTGCGCGGCGCAGCTCGACGGCGCGCAGCCACAGGTGCCTCTCCACGCATGAGGAACCCATAGCATCGCGAACAATACCCATCTGCTTCCTCGGCAGCTCGGTTGCGACACCCCTCAGTGACACATATCACCGCGTCAGGTGTTGTCTTGGATGGCGCCATCGCTGCATTGCTCATCAGCGGTGCCGCAACATTGGACTCGACAAGAGCCAACGAGTCACGTGGTGACAAATGGGTTGGATTTTGAACAGCGCTGGGCCTGCGCCGAGCATTCTCGCTGGTTTTACGCTTGGATGTTGGAGCTTTGTCTGGCATAGCCTGCGGCGTGGGGGTGCTGGCTGGTTCGGGTGCGGCAGTTCCGGCTTGCTCCGTGGCCATGGCTGCACGAAGACGATACGCCTCACGGTGCGAAGGAAGGGGTTTGTGACCAGCCCGTCGCGCCACAACTTTGCCTTTGACGTGACTCCGAGCCTGTTGACACAATGTACAGGACCCAAGAGAGACGCATTGAGATGGTTGCCCGGCTTTTATTTGTTTTTGCTGTTTCGTGCATTTGTACAACACCAGCCGATCCATTGTGGGTCAAAAATACCCACCTTTGCTTGATGTGCTTGTTGCATGTATCGCAGCCGCTGTTCGCGCTTTCCCTCCCGCGTTAAAAATTGACGCTCTGTCAGGACAGTCCCGCCGATTGACCGGAGGCCAGCGGCACCCAAGCATCCATCATGAGCTTAGGAGACCAGATAGGTGTAGACGAGCAAAGGCATGTGGTGGCGTACTATAGTCATCTGACACTTGCAGATCATCCGAGCTCATGAGGCGAGCCCGCTTGCCGTGAATCATGGCTTCGGCGCCTGAGAAGGGAAGACGCAGCGTCAAGGGTGCACAACAACCGCGTGGTTACACAGACATGTGGGCACAGGCACAGGAGCGGCAGCATCTTCCCCACGGACCTTCGAGGCGTGAAAGCTGCTTCTTGACGTCCATCATGTCCCGGGCCGTCTCGGCGCGTTCAGACTCGATGGCTGCCAAAGTTTCTTTGAGCTCAACACTTCGCTCTCGCGCTGCCTTGTGTAGAGCCCCGACCTTGGCAGCCTGCAGGCGCCCGCGGTACAGTTTGAGGTGATCGAGCGCTTATGCTTGGCACACTGTGATTGACCAGGTCGGCACCCACCTTGAGCTGCTGTTCTGCAAGCTGAAGTTGGAGGCGAACCTGTCGGGTCGAATCTTCACACGCCTGACCTCCCATCAGCCACCGTAAGATGAGGTGCGAGAACGCATGGGTGCTGGGCATTCATCCTGAGTCCAGCTGCTCGAGCCAGGCCAACTGGAGCCGAGAACCTACCGCCAAAGTTTGCGCCAGCTGTTCGCGAGAACGGTGCAGGCGGTCAAGTTCTGCCATGCGATCCATCTCAGCCGAAACGTTGGCCTCAACCTCGCGCTGGTCCATCACGGTCACGCCCAGAGCTAACGCGGGCAGAGAGGCGAGGAGCACCAGGCCGCAGCAGTTGAGACGTGGGCTGCGGCCGCCGCCACATGCAGGCGCAAAACGCATGCTCCTTTCAAAGGTCAGAGAGAGAGAGAGAGAGAGAGAGAGAGAGAGAGAGAGAGAGAGAGAGAGAGAGAGAGATAGGGAGAGTTGACCGCAGCACGTACCGGCCAGACTAGCCGCTGAGCGCTTGCCCTCCGCCATGTTTGGCGGTCAGCAGGATGGCTCGTGTTTCGTTTGCTCGCTTTGCCTGCGCTTCGCCTGCGTCACCTGCGCACGCGCTTCCTTTTTTTTTCCTTCGACTCGTACAACGCCAAATCGGTTGACTGCCTTGGCTGACAGCATACAGCTCAACAAAAATATCCTTCTCACGTCGCTCCCTTCCTGGACTCGCCACTGCCGTGTGTTGTTTGGACGGGGCAGTCACATGGACACTACACAGCATTCAAATGGCTTGGAGCGGTTTTATGTTGCGCGCCAAATTCTCATCATCCATCACCATCATCCTCAAAACATCTGACATTGCGACACCTCCAACAGCTACTCAGCGGGCGATTCTGAGATCAGCTCCAAGCGCGTTTTGCGCGCTGATCGGCTGCCACGTACAGCACGCTTGCTTGAGCCGGCAGCAGGGGTGGCTGCCGTGGCAGAGATTGTGGCTGATACAGGGCGCTTGCTGGAAAGACCTATTTCAGGAGCCAGAAGCCGGGGAGATTTTACAATTTTCGAGATTTGAAGGTACAGCACGAGACTCCGCCCATGGGCTGACCTCGATCAGTCTGACGCATGGCTGCGACTTGAATCTGTGCCGTCAGGTTTAATGGATGGAGCAGGGGGTTGAAGATCTTGCGCACTCGAAGCTAATCGGAAAATCAACCCATGTCCCCGCGAACGCACACACGCCACACGCTGAGCCCTGTTTTCAAGCAGAGCACACCGAGGCCCACGCAAAGATCCCACCCCGCATTCAAGACCCAAAAATAAGGACGGGGCGGTGGCATACCCGTGCCAAGGCATCGTCGACGCGATGGGTGGCAGTGAAGGCCAAGTCTTGTACACTGGCACCAGCATGTGCACTGGAGAGCACGAGCTCCTGTCCTGCAACGGCCTTGAGCAGGAGCTGATGCATGCCATCGTCCACCACACCAGCCAATACGTACAGCGCACGAGGCGCTCGGTCATCATGCTGACTTGCCAGGATCAGATACTCGTCCTAAGCCCGCAAACTCACGGCGTGATTGGATGCGTCTCTACCCAGGACAAACCCATATGTCTCGGCCACCTTTGCCATCGCGAACGCTACCTCCCGGTCCAGCTGCGCGGCCAGGGCGCAAAATAGATGATGCTGCTCATCCATGTCCTCAAAATTCAAGTTGACGTCGGAGGTGGGCAAAAGTAGCCAAGGCTGGCCAAACATCTGTACCCAGCCGCGCCGCATGTCAGCAGTTATGCTTTGGCGGTTCGTGATCCAGGCATGTCTGAGCAAAAGGCGTGGGAGGGGGTTGCACGTACCACGGACACGTCCACGAAGCGGCACCGCTCAATGGCAAAGAGGGTCCAATTGCCCTTGTGCAAGGCATCACTGCCATGCCCGACAAAGCATTCGGGTAAACGGCCTTTGCTGCGCCGAGTGGCTCCCGCCTGGACAAAAGTCCAGATTCAGTTGCGAGGCACAGTGACCCGTAATGCTCTGCACTAAGCCCACACTTCTTGCTCCACAATCCAAGTACATCATACCTTGTAGTCGCTTGCGCATTCTCCGGGCAATGCGTGTGCGGGCTCCAGCACCTATACTCGCTCGGTGCGAAAGGGCAGGCATATTGCATCGGCTGACTTTGGGACACGATGCCATCATGACACCCGGCTTTGACATACAAGCAGGCCACGTACGGGTTGTAGGGCTTCCACTTGAAGGCGCACCGTGCCCAGCAGCATGCTGAGTGAGCGAAGGGGGAGTTGATGGCGTAGATGCTCCATGACCATGGCCGACATGGCCACAGGATCTATTACATGAGCCAGCCCTTGCTGTCAGATGGACCTAGGATGGAACGGCGACTGTGGTGTACAGTGGGACCAGAGGTACCTGGCCATTCAAGTCGACAAGCGGTCATACCCGGAGGGAGGTTGTTGGTGGTCAGTAAGACAGCATGAGACAGCACCTGATCCGCGTCTTCCTGGTCCGAGTCGGAGTGGATAAAGCATGCATGGGCATGGTCAAAGCTAAGAAGCAATGACACCAACATCCACATGCCTGTCAGTACGTGCGCCTGTTCAGCCCGTGTCATATGCTAGGCGAGGCGCGTACAGGGCTTCGAGGCTCTCTAGGGCGGCCATTGACAGAGTGGTTGGTGAACCGGCGAGTAGTAGGCAAGATCTTGACAATTTTCGCACAGATGGGTAAGGTGCAGGTGTGGTGAGAATGGCGTGACGGGTTAAGGAACGGCTCTTGCGTGTCCCCGCACACCAGGAACAGACTTTGCCACCGGTTCCGAGAGAGACTGCAGGTGATGGTCTGCTCGGGCAAGGGCGGCCTCCAGGGGGCTGCTTGTTGGCGGAACAGGAGTCCAACTCGCTGGATGGGTATAGCGATGCATCAGCAGGCTCGAGCGTACAGCTTTGACAAGACACCCAGCGTGAGGACGTACTTGGAAGACTGGCAGACAAAGGGCGTGAATCAGTCTCACTACATGCGCTGTGAACGCCCTCAAGAAGCTCGCGCACGTTATGGCAACGAAGAGGCAACGTCTCCTAGCAATGCCACATGTGGCGATGGCCACGACAATTCAGGGATTAGGTTTGACGGTCTCTGTGCCCTGCGAGCGTTTGCTGCTCTACGTGTGGCCGGAGGCACCTCGATATGGTTGGAATGAAGGACGGTCAGCGACCACGCGCACTGGTCGTGTGACCACATGCCATGTAATGCGAGCGCATGAGACAGGCTTTTATCGATGGCGTCCAGGGCACCTCGCGCCAACGTCATCTCGTCAAGAACCAGACAGCGGACCAACTTGACTGCCATGATGCCCTGTGCGCCGATGCCAACAGTACACCCAGTTGAGCAAGGACGCCGGAAAAGAAAAAAAGAAACAAGAGAAAAAGGACCAGCGGCGGAGTTGGTTGTGTCTGTCTGCCACTGGGTGTGTATGCTACAAATGCAACTCTTGACGCCGTGCACGAATTGTCGACAAAATCTTGTTTCCCGCCAAATTTGCAGGCAAATTCATGGATGTACATGAAGAGATTTCGCATTCGGGGCGGTGGCGACTGCAAGGCAGCGGCAAATTCAAGAAAAAAAAAAGCCTCCACCGGCCATGCTCATGCCAATTTCCAAGCAGCACCGGTCAGACCCCACCCCACAGCCCCAACGCACCTCGTCAAGATCCGTATCCGCTCCGCTGCCAAATGGCCCTTACAAAGAAAAAATTTCCTGATTTCTTTTTCCTCTTTTTGTTTGTTTGTTGTTGTTGTTGTTGAAACTATACTGCTGTGCATACGCGTTGTGTACGTTTGTTGTTGTGTTAACAGCTTTGCGTGCATGAACAGCAAAAACCTGCAAAAAGAACGGTTTGGATCAAAAAGATCCGAGAGAGAAGGAGAGCCCCTTTTTGCTTCTTGCTGTGTGGGGCGATCGGAGCAACATCGCCATCTGAATCGGTCGATCGCGCGAAGCAATCGCTTTAGAGCAAGGGCGGGGATTGATTGCTTCAACATCGGATCGGTGTATGGAGTGAGGTGCATCATAGGTGGGTGGGGTAAGTGCCTGATTCTGGAGGCTGTGAAGGCGCATCACGGTTTCTGCCTTAACATGAAAGCGCCTGTCGGCGATCGATCGTGCATCTCATCGGATGATGATGGCGCCTCCCCATGCACCGTCGGTAACAGAATCTGCAGATTGTGATCATGGCCTCGGTTCCGCCGCTAGTCCCGGCACAGCTGCGCCCCACTCGGAGAAGAAAGGGTCGCGCCACTACGCTCCCCAATCTCGAGTCCTCGGACATGGACGCCACTTCTACATCCGCCATCAGTCATCGACCCAAGGTCCCTGTCGTTGTGCGCGCCAGCCCTGCTAGCAGACGAGGCAGCGAACCAGCTCCCAAGCGCCGGCTGGCTGATCGCATTACCTCCTCTCCTGCTCGGCTTGCTTCTGGTGCGCTGAGCGTACCAGGAGCAGAGCCGGAGATCAAGCCCACGGAACCACGGCGTGTGCTCCAAACAAGAGCCCGCTCGTGCGATCACGCATCAACCGTCTCTGCTGAGGCATGGGAAGAATGGCTCACGCAAGCACCAGCATCAACCACCGCCGTCTGGCTGATTCTTCCAAGAGTCCAAGCGAGGGCTGCGCGGCGTACTGGTCCCGAAGCTGACCCCACAAGACCCTCATGGGTGTCGCTCACCGAGACGGGGCTTCGCTGGGGCTGGATTCGGGGCCACCTCAAGCCAAGCGGGGCACCAAACTACGAAGTGTGTGCCCTCTTTACACGTATTTCACCAAAGACGCGTTGGAGCTTTGGCAATCAGCAGATTCTAGAACAACTTCTCGACGCCAACCAGGTGGTACCGGCTGTCGCCCAAGCGCTTGCCCCCACCCTGTCCTCGCCACAATGGGAGGAACTGCACGCAGTCGGCCGGGGTGAGGCACCTCCTGATCTTCTCGTAGCTTTGCAGCCAAGCGCCAGTGCTAAGCGTAACTGGGAGGCTTTCCCCCTGAGAGTGCGGCGCAACATGCTGCAATGGGTCCACGATGCGCGGGATCTTCACATTCGAGCACAACGTATTGCCGAGATTGCTGCACAAGCCGAGATCAACCTTCAAGCTCGCTAGTTGGCTCAACGTGCCCTGGCCTGCCCTGATCGCTGCTTTGATCGCTTCCTCGTGTTGCTGCTGCTGTCTGCCTGCCCGTGCGATGGCAACTCGGCAAGATAAACATCGGGGCCCCAGTTTGATAACATTCAACTTTGAGCATGGTCTGAATTTCTCGCGCCCCTGTGGCTGATGCTACAAGTCGGGTCGGTCAGCATCCTATTCTGCTGCAGGATGAATGGCAAGCAGATGCAGATGCCAAATGTCAAGAAAGGTGGGCCTTCTTCACCATCTGCACAATTGTAGTGTTCAAGTGCCTTTTGATTCTCTTCATAAAAGCCTCGCATACGATGCGCATGCCCATCCCCCTTGATTCTCGCCCGTGCCCCTCACCCGTTTTCCATCGATAACAATCAAGACCCGGGCGATAGAAAGTCAACCTCCACCTCAATCATCAAACTCCCACCACCCTACCAAAAAATCTCTCTCTCTCTCCTCTTTCTCGAACTAATCTCTTTCTCTTCTTTCTCAAACCAACCAGACCGATTCATACTCCTCTCTCTCTCGCTTTCTCTCTCTCTCTCTCTCTCTCTCTCTCTCTCTCTCTCTCTCTCTCTCTCTCTCTCTCTCTCTCTCTCTCTCTCTCTCTCTCTCTCTCTCTTGTGTCGTGTTGGTAGTGGGATTGCTGGTGTGCCGCCCCTTCGTCTTCTTGGCGCCCGCAACTCCTTCTTCTTCCTCTTCCTCTGCCCCCGCCCCCGGGTTGCCCCCTTGACTTATGCTCGCCTGACGCACGGACGGGGACGCATACAGGCTTTTTTTTCCCCACACCGCTTGACCTGTGTGTATTCCCCTTCGATACTCCGTTTTCAAAGCTTGAACCCAAAAGCTTTGGTGTGTCCATCTTCTTTCGTGATTCCTCAGCTCGTGCCTGTGGTGGGCACGAACCTTGTGTGGCGTGGGGCTCGCAGACGGGTGCTCGTTCTTCTTCTTCAAGTACCACCCTAACGTGCAGTGTTGCTCGGTCGGCTTGTCATATAGCACAGCAGCATAGCTGGGTTGCTGCCCTTCATCCTCCAACCCCACCGGCAGCATGGCCAACAAGGAACGGGTTTTTGCGCTGTTTCAGCACCGCTGCCGTCAGTACCTCACCGACGAGGAGCATGAGCAGGTCAAAGACACCATCGCTCAGTTTCTTACGTCGCGGGTAAGCCTTGAGCTCTAGATTTCATGCCCCCTTGCCGGCACTGATGGCCCCAGCAAGCCGATCTGCTCGCGCTCGAGCACGCCCACTTCCTTTGCCCTCACTATCGCTGGTTTGGGTATGGGGCTCGCAGGACCTTGGCCTGCTCATCGCCAACCTGAGCTACTTTCTTGACACGGCAGACAAGCGCCGTATCCTCCCCGTAGTTTGCAATCTGCTCCCTGGTAGGTTATCCCCTTCAAGTCGAATCAATGGCTCAGTGGGAGGCGGGGGAGGGGGGCGTTGTTGTTGTTTTTTTTTGTGCGTGTTTTTTCAGTTTGGTCAAGCTCTTTGTTTTCCTGTCGTTTCCACTGCCCGCCCTTTCTCCTATTGATCCGCGACCCCTTGCCGACTGTCTCCTCCTGGTGCTATTTGCCTCAATGCTCATCTGCAAACGTGCCGTCATCCCTCGACTAGACCGCTTCGAGAAGGAATTTTGTGAACTAACCGACCTGCCCTGGCCCCTCGAGCCCCTGGACTTTCCTCCAGACCTGAGTACGTACCCTGCCAGCACATGCGACCAGCCCTTCGGCCCTTGGTCCATACGCCCCTTCTTTGTATCGCGCTTCTACCTCTTTGGTGGTTTCTTTTTTTTTTCTATCAAGACTGAAAGTCGTGGCTGCTGGTCATCTGCCCTATCTTCGACAGTTGTGGCGCCTCAGTTCACCATCAAGCCATCACAGCCGACGGACCAGTACATCGAGGTTTGTCACTGACGTTCTTCTACCCAGTCCGCTTTCTTTTTTGGCTGTTTCCAGGGCTCGTGCTCATACGGGCTTTGTTCCATTTTTGACAGTGCGAGCCTTCAGGACGTAAGATATTGTTGCCCCTTGATTACTCACCGTGGCGCAGAACCGATCGCTGATCCAGTGTTTTTCTCCCGTCTGTGTGTGTGTGTGTATGCACGCATGTACTTGATTCTCGCGCCGGTGATCATCGCGACACTCGCCTGTGCTCGTGGACCCTTTCCCAATCACCCATCGTAGCCCCGGCCGCCTCTGTATGTGCTTGCCCATACATTGTTTGAGTCGATGCCTGCCTTGCTATATGAGAACAGAAGCTACGCTCATGCGCTGCACTTGCGCAAAAACACTCAGGGTGAAGTGAACCAGTTTGATTTATTAGTGGCCATGGCCGAGGCCGACTTGAAGCTCTCAGAAGGCCAGGGCATGGAAGCCGTCAATCCGCTGATGATGAATGCGAGTCCCAAGTCGGGTGATTCAGCGGCCCAGCTCAGTCGTGGAGGCTTCAAGTCGGCAAGCTTCGCGCGCCGTGCGCCAGCTCAGGTGAGCGCGTTGGGAAAGCGTCCTCGTCGCTGTGACCCGATCCTCCGTGAACACAGGGACAGCCTCGTTAGCCCTTGCCTTCACGTCGGCTCCGTCATGATTGCAGGCGCAACCCATTCAACAATTGGACGCGCGAGTGGACGGTCTGCCCGACTACGTGAGCGACGCTGGGACGCGCGGCGAAGCCGAAGCACAATTGCGCCTGGTACGTGCCTCTCTAGGCCGCGCGTGAAGACTGCTCCCCCGCCCCTCTCTCTCCCTGCATGTGCGTGTGCTTTGTGATCCGACTGAGATCGTTGTATCTGGCTCGCTATGCTCACTTATCAACTGGCCGTACGTGAAATGCGCGCCACTGGGCCTCGTGCATCAGGCGGGTTTTAAGCCGGGCACCTTTCTTGTTCGCCTCAAGGATCTGGGCTTTGGTGGCTCCTTCAAGCGCAAGCCGGTATGTGATTGCCAAGTAGACAGCAACTCCTGCCCTTTCTTTCCTCGTCCCGCGCTTCCTTTTTTTTCTGCTTGTGAATCAAGTCAGCAATGAAGCCAAATCGTGAACTTTACGCAAAGCCTTGATGGTATGCTCATGGGTATGTTTCTGTTTTTTTGGTTTTTTGCCTGTGTGTCGGGATCGCGGGGCGTTTGCCTCATCACAGGGTGTCAAGCCACCTCGCAAGGCTTGGGCGCTCTCATTTGTTGACACGGATGAAGCGCACTCGATTCAGCACCTGCTGATTGAGCAGCAAAGCCGAGGCTCGGTCTTAACCATCACCGGGCGCGAATTTGGCCAGGTGAGCGAACTCGGCACTCGTCGTGACTGTTTGTTTTTTTGTTTTTGGTTTTTGTTTTTTTTGTTTTTTTGTTTTTTTCCGTTCTCTGCAATTGGCTCCACCCGCACTATTCTGGCATGCCGATGCTCTCGCATCTGCCCGCACACAGCTTTTGGCGCAGGCCTGTGGCTTATCGTGGCTGTGCTTTACTTTGCCATGGCACTGATGCAACCCGTTTCCCCTGTCTCTCCATGACCCCAGCATACGGTGGTGCACGATCTGCTGGTGTACTTGCGAGACTCGGCCAATTATCCTCTGCGTGAAACCCCCTTCCAGTGCAAGCGCTGGTACCACGGTCCCATTGAGCGCCCTGTAGGTCTTTGCTTCGGCCATCGTTGTTTGCCCCTTTTTTCGTAGCTGTGCTCTTGCTCTGGCGCAATACTTGCCCTGGACTGTACTGTACCGGGCGAACTTGGTGGTACTGACAAGCCAGAGGACTCGGTGCCATGTAGGACGCGGAGATGCGGTTATTGCAGGGTGCTACAAACGGCAAGTTCTTGGTGCGTCGTCGTGCTGCTGAGGAGAATGCCTACGTGATTTCCTTGGTTGTGGACAACGAGGTGTACCACAACAAAGTATACGTGTCTCCGGATGGCCAGTGGACGGCGACAGCGGCGCCGGGCGTCAAGCATGCTACTTTGGCTGATCTCGTGGATTACCACTCCACCAGTGCCAAGGGCATGCAGCACGCGTAAGCTGACGTGCTCTTTTGCTGCATACTTGGCCTTGACCTCATGTCTGCGGGGAAGGGTCATCCGAGCTAGGCATGGATGTCAAGAGGCAGAAGCAGCTGTGGGTCCATTTTTGTGATGCGCCTGGCTAATTTGCTTTTGTGTGTGTGTCTGTCTGTCTGTCTGTCTGTCTGTCTGTCTCTCCTTCGCAGGTTGACGACACCATGCCCACGACCACAGCCTTTTTACCTGATGGCTAATATGATGTAAACAGGGTTTATTAGAGTCCATATCAATCCCCACGAGCCCTGTCGCGAGGCCTGCACAACCCCAGCTAGCAAGCATCAGCTGTTTCCTCCTGCTGCCCTGTTGATTTTTTTGTCTTTTCCTTGTGGCCCTGTGCCTCTGACATTTCATTGTGAAGAACCTATTGGTTGGTCAACTGGGCCGTCGCATCGAGCGAGCGCCAAGCACCGGCCAGTGTCGGAGAGCCATTGTTGGAGGCAGTTTGCCTTGTTCTCCCCATTACCCTGCATCGCCTGCCGTTTCGACCAAGGTCATTTCTCAGTCTCTCACTTCCACACTCATCTGGCTATCAATCAATCAAAAAGGTCGTTGAACTACCACGCTGCGACTTGAAGCAGAGATTGAGCGGACGTACACGAAGTAAGGAAACTGTATCTACGTTTGTGAACCAACGTATGAAGAGAGCGGTCGAATGTCTGGGCGAACGTCGGAGCTGACAACAGACACACCAAGACAAGGGGAACTGCGCCATTTCTGCGTAACTGACACACATCTCAACGAATTCCTTACAATGTCATGCCATGGACGTGAAATGAAATAATTATTCATCGACACCTTCTTGTGCATGCAGGCTGGGGTGCAGAGAGCGCCCACGCCGGCGCCCGGCGCCCGGCCATGCACGATGACCCTCACATCAAACGCACGACATGACATGGTGCATCAACCCAAAAAAAAAAACCATAGATCAAAAAGTCAGGCACATCCAAATCCAAATCCATCACATCACATGAACATCATCATTCAAACGCAAGCAATACATTTGCCTGCGTGCAACCTTGTGTCCGCGTCTTGGCACACCGCACGCATCTTCTTCTCAGGCCGGTGCGTAAGGAACCCCGCGCCGTCAAAGGGTTGTAGGTGGGCAGTAGCAAGCACGAAAACGTACAAAAGATGGCACGAAAGAAGTCGTGCTAAGGGTGTAAGAACTTCAAAAGGAACGTACAACGAGCCGTGGCCAGCCACGCGTCAAGGTCATTGGGACGAACGAAGCGGGTGGGGCGACAGAACCATCAAAACAGGACGATGATGTGGCAAGTGCAAGAATCCACTGCGGCAGGCGCCACCCTCACCCTCGCTGCTCCCCCTCGTCCGGCTCGTGGCTCGCAGGCCACTTGTTCCGTGGTCAGGTCGATCACCCTTGGTTTCAGAACCCCGCGCGATTGAGACTGGCATTTTTCTGCCTCATCTGAAGGAGGAAGCACCAACGTGTCCGGCCCCACTGTCCCCCGCCTTTTCCTTTGCCATGGCCTACACGCTGCGAATGACGGCCTTGGCCGTCTTGGGCTTGATGCTCACCATTGGCCAATCCGCTGCCCGGTACGATCGTGGCCCTCTCGAGCGGCAGCGCACATTCCCCCTGCCCGCGAAGGCTCACCTCCATCCTCATGCTTGTCTCCGCAGCGAGGTTTGCTGGCAAGGCTTTGCCGATGACTCATGCACCCCAGGCACTGAGACCTACTTGTCCTGCGGCGAAGAAAATGTGTGCCAGCACGTTGACGCCAATGAGTCTACTACGCAGGTTCGGCACTCGTCGAGCTAGCACGGCGTGGTGGTGCGAGATGTCTCAACCACCTCCGCTCGTTTGTCGCGCCCCTGGCTCATCGTGCCAATCGTCATCCATGTCTCAGACTTGCGGCACAGGCCATGTCACCATCTCTCTCTATCGAGGCTCGGAAGAGTGCATGGGTGACCTGGACTACACAACATCTGTTCCCATGGTGGGTGGCGATCAGCCCCGCTGCCTCCGCGCACCTTGCTGGTGCACCTTCTCCGTCTCGCACGACATCATTTCATTGTACACTCGCGTTGCCCCAGAATACCTGCATGGCCCTGGGCGAGGATACCGGCCATGGCAAGCTCTACTGCCGTACGTATTCGACTCAGGCCAGTTGCCCCCATGCTCAATTCCGCACTCCCTCAGCCCGCCGGCCCTATTGGTGACAACTTGCACAGGTGACCAGGATGAGGCCAGTGACGAAGTCATTCTCGAGCTTGACCCTGCAATGGATGCCACCCTCTACGAGCCTGCAGATGGCGAGGTCAGGCCTACTTTCATTTTCTCTCTCTCAAACTCTCAAACTCGTTCAAATTCTCGCTCAAAATCTCTCGCCATGTGCCGTTCATTTCTCATCTGCTTGGGGGCTCATTTTGTCTCGACCACAGGAAGACCACATTGGGGCCGGCAAGTGCGATTCTCTGTTTGTTGGCCTGACCAACAACGGATACCGTCGTCGCATCTTGATTCAGTTTGACATGACCCCGGTCGATGAAGCCAACATTGAAGTTATTTCGGCTCATTTGACTCTGACTGGCGCCGAGCGTGACACATCCCTCATCCTGCGCCGGGCTGAAAAGAACTGGACCGAAGGTAGCAATGACGTTGCCTCCAATTCGGTAGGCGTTACCTGCAGTGTGCACCCTCACATGCTGCCAAACATGCAGCCACGGCGCATGCGTTGTAGTCATGCTGTCCAGTGCTGGTCGTTCTCACGCTGGTGCGCACTCTGCGATTCTTTAACAGAACGGCGGCAATGGCGCCGTAGCCACTGATGGTGCCACCTGGTTCTACACCATGCTGGAAGCCAACGAAACGTGGACCAATGAAGGCGGTGACTACTACGCCCTGACGACCTCGACGGCTGACGTACAGGCTGAAGGCAACGTGACGTTTGAGGACGTGCACAACGATGTGCGCCACATGATGTCCAATCCCAACTATGGCTGGCTCATTGTTGGTGACGAAGCAAACCCTCAGACCACGCTCCGGTACGGCAGGACTGCACGGACGGCTGACTCAATTCGAGTTTGCCATCCTCACCATTCTCGACTGTGACTGTGCTCATACACCTTCTCCCTGGCTGCTCCTTTGCTTTTGCCTGCTGCAGTCTGCCGTCTCGCGAACATGATACTGATGGCCTTCGCCCCAAGCTGACGGTTATTGGCCGCCTCACCAATGCCGCCTCGACTCCAGCGTAAGCCTGCTACATGCATTTTCTCGCCCAGCCTTGCCTTGGCTAGCATAGGCCATTAATCGTCAAACCATGTGAGGCCTACCCGCAACCTGCCCTGTCCCTCATGTTGTGCTGCTGATAGTCCCGGAAAGACACGCTATGTCCGCATTGTGATCAAGTTTACTTCGGGTATGGAGCTGAGCGCCAATTTGATTCGCCAAGCCATTGTGAACGAACTCAACGAGCGCGAAATTCGCGTCGAGGAGCTCGACGTGGTTGTGGTGCGCGCTCAGTCTCGGCGCCGGGAAACGGCCAGCTGGGTCATCTTTGTGCGCCTTTTGTCCAGCACAACGGTCAAGGCCACCGGGGATGCTCTTGTTGGCATGACCGAAGATGGCTCGCTCGCGGGCAACATCGAGGTATGGGCGCGTGGAACGCCTGTGGTTGCCGATGATAAAGGGCGACTCGACATTATTGGCTCATGCCCGTTTCATGTGGAATTGGGCCACTAGGATTTGGATGGCGAAGTGGGCTCCATCTCCACCGAGGTGGCAAACGAGCCGACGGAGGTATTTTTTTTTCTTTGCTAGCCGTTGCCTACAAGTCTCTTTTGGGGAGGCATTCGTTGCATAATACACTGGTAGTGTCGGGGCACTGCGAGAGGGCATGCTCGGCCTGATGAGCGAATCGGTTTGTGGGGTCAATGATATTTATTGTAGGTGTCAAGCACTGCGGACCTGCCCAATGGCGCAGCTGTTGCAACCCCCACCCTTTGGTTCTCTGTTCTGCTGGCCGCCGTGGTATGTTTTTCAATCTTGCCTTGGCCACGGCCTTCTCTCATTCAAAGAAGGGAGCTTGCTGAGGAAATGGGTATGATCGCCCGTGCGAGATCGCTCACCGTGGGACTCGCTTGCGACAGGCGGTTTTGGCGTGGAACTAACTCTTTCTACTAACTAATTCAATGTCATGCTCACCTGCGAGGATCATGAACGGGCTCTGTCCCGACCGCTTTCCTTGTTCACACGTGCGCACATGCACACCCCTTCACTGGTGATGGATGCCACCCGTCCTACGCTATACACCATGACCCGCCGTGTGTGTGTTGAACAATCGTGCCACCGTCCCATGCGACCTCGCCCGCTTTTTTGGAATAATTGACACGACCCTGACTTCAGATCTATCTGACATCCCCCACTTGGCTTGCAAGCAGCAGCAGGTTGCAGTAACCACACAACCTCTTACACTCGACATTACACGACACACACACACACACACACACACACACACACGTGTTGGTTCACAGTGTGTGACGCTGTCAAGACAGCTTACGGCTTTAAATGTCGATATTGATACACTTTGATCAGTGGTAGAGTGTGTGCTGTGTTATACTTTACCGATCGACCGGTTCGTGCACACACACACACACGATGTCGTTGTGTTGGACTTGAAGAGGAGAAATGGCAGCGCCGTGGCTCCGAGTGTTGCTTGCGATGGGGCGACTCAAGCAAATGAAACGTGACAGGACTTGGTGTTTTTTGCTCGTCTGCCGTACTCATATTTGTTTTCTGCATTCGCTCTTGGCCTCGAAATTCGAGAAGATCTTTAGCAGAAGGTCTGTCATCCAGCTCACGCCCCTCACCTGCTGATGTTGTTCATGATCACGGGCCTGCTCGCGCGGTAAGGCATCGTTCGGCTGCTCGCCTGGCCAGTAGCCCAGGCCTTCGACCTGTTTTGCATGCTCAAAATCATGCCTGCTGTCCTCCGCTCTCAACCCGAGCCACGACTGGGTTTGGGAAGGAGGGAGAGGCAGGCATGTTGTGTGGTGCACGTGACGTGACGCGGCGCATCACATGGCGCTCCGGCGATCAGCAGCCTGCTGCAGGCGTGCCCTGTTGCTTCTGCTCACGGCTCTGTTGATGTTGTCCTGCTTCCCTTGTACCGTGGCCCTTGGGTGCATTCCGGCTGTCTGGCCTGAAACGCCACTTTTCGATCCCCATCAGATCCTGGGCCTACTTGCGAAGTGCCAGCGGACCTGCTCGCGAAGCGCTGCGGGTGCGGCCAGTCCCTTGTGCACCTTGGCTAAAAGGGCCACATGAGCCGTTTGGCATTTTTTTCCCCAGTCTCATGGCTTTGATGCTTTGATGCGTGCACCCCCCTCACCTCAGCCGTGTTGTGTCACTTCCCCTCCGCCTGGCCTGGCACGTTTGATAGCCATTGTCGACCACACCTGTCATCATGGCTCAGGAACAGGACTGGAATGCCGCCAAAGTGCGCCAGACCTACATTGACTTTTTCGTGGAGAAGAAGGAGCACGTGTTCTGGCCTTCATCCTCCTCGGTCCCCCACGATGACCCCACGCTGCTCTTTTGCAATGCTGGCATGAACCAGTTCAAGAAGGTCTTCCAAGGCACCGTTGACCCCAACAGCGACATGGCCAAAGTCTCTCGTACCGTGAACAGCCAAAAGTGCATCCGCGCCGGTGGCAAGCACAATGATCTCGGTAAGATGACTCTTTGACTCTGCGTCAAACACGCACGTGGACATTCGAGGCCTGTGCGTTTGCGACGAGCGCATGTTGCTGTACTCACTGCACGTGTGACATGTTACAGACGATGTGGGTAAGGACACGTACCATCATACCTTTTTCGAGATGTTGGGCAACTGGTCCTTCGGCGACTACTTCAAGGTAAGAGTCAATCTGGTCGACCAGCGCACCTGTGCCCATTGTGCCGGTTCATGACACACCTGCACACAAATCCTCACCAAATTACCCTTTGCCTTGCAGGCGGAAGCCATTCAGTGGTCGTTTGAGCTCTTGACTGAGGTGTATGGCCTTTCTGCTGATCGCCTGTACGCCACCTATTTCGAGGGTGACACCGAACAAAACATCCCCGAGGATGTTGAGGCCAAGGAGTTGTGGCTCAAGCTCCTGCCGGCTGATCACGTGCTGCCCGGCAACAAGAAGGTACGATACACCTTGTTTTATCGTGGGAAGTGTCTTTGCGAGGCTCTTTAGGCACTGGTGGCTTTAGTCTCAGGAAACTTGTCAATGCCAATCCTAACACTCACTTGGGTCACACAGGATAACTTCTGGGAGATGGGTGCGACTGGCCCCTGTGGCCCGTGCTCTGAGTTGCACTACGACCGCATCGGTGGCCGTAATGCTGCCTCGCTCGTCAACCAGGATGATCCAGATGTTTTGGAAATGTATGTCCTTGTTACCTTGACTGCGGTCGATCACGCCGACTCGACTTTTTCCACCACCCTCATCACTCTGGCTCGTTGTGTCGGCAGCTGGAACCTTGTGTTTATGCAGTTCAACCGCGAACCTGATGCCTCGCTGCGTCTGTTGCCGGCCCGCCACATTGACACGGGCATGGGCCTTGAGCGCCTCGTCTCCGTCCTCCAGGTACAAACAGCAGCCGGGGGAGGGTCTTGAACAATTATTTGGAAGCTGGGTGCCTTTTTTTTTTTTTTTTTTTTTAAAAAAGACAGCTTTGTTGATACTTTGTGCTTTCTTTTTTTCAATTTTTTTTTTCCTTTGGGCCAATCATGCCACTTTGATTCTCCCTTTGATCAGGACAAGCGCAGCAACTACGACACTGACGTCTTCCAGCCCTACTTTGACGTCATCCAACAAGTTTGCGGCTGCCGCCCCTACGCTGGTAAGGTCGGCAAAGAGGACGATGGCATCGACACGGCCTACCGTGTGCTGGCCGATCACATCCGCACCCTGACCATCTCCATTTCCGATGGCGGTGAACCCGACAACGTACGTATCTTAGCCCTGTTGCGACAGCGCGCACGCGTGCATCCCATCCCTTAAACCTCTCGGAAACGCGTCTCTTCCTATCCTTTCTGCAGACCGGTCGCGGCTATGTGCTGCGCCTGATCATCCGCCGTGCTGTTCGGTACGTCCTCGGCCCATAATACTCATCGTCGTCACCATAACCAGGCATGTTACTAGCCTTTCACTTGACTTGCAAAATAACATTTTTGCTCTGGCCGGTGGACATAGCTTTGCGGAGGACTACCTCAAGGCCCCCGAGTACTTTTTCTCTTCCCTTGTACCCACCGTTGTGGAGCAGCTTGGCGATGCCTTCCCCGAGATCAAGCGCGATCCCGAACACGTCATTGAGGTGCTCAAGGCCGAGGAGAAGCAGTTCCGCCGCACCCTGGTTTGTCCCTGCTTGCCACGCGAGCTGCCATGCGAGCTGCTTGATCTTCGCTGTTGATATTATTAACTCGTCTGACGTGTTCTTGATGCAGAACCGTGGTCGTCGGCTCTTCCAACGCGCTGCTGACAAGGCCACCGATGGCGTCATTGATGGACACGTGGCCTGGCAGCTGTGGGGAACCTACGGCTTTCCTGTTGATCTCACGAGTACGTTACAGGAGTTGGCCCTTGATTGGCTGCATGCAAATTGGCTTCCTGGCTGGCTTCTTCTTCTCATCCGTTCTCTTCTCACGTCGTGTAGAGGTCATGGCTGAGGAGCGCGGCTTGACCGTTGACGAGAAGACGTTTGAGGCCGCTCGCGAAGAGGCGGTCAAGGTCTCCCAAATGGGCAAGAAGATGGCCATTGAGGGCATCGACCTGGATGTGCACGACCTGGACAAGCTCAAGGCGGACGGCATCGCTGCCACCGACGATTCGTTCAAGTACGACTATGGCCTGGTCGGTGACAATTCTTACGAGTTCAAGGATTTGGAGGCCAAGGTTGTGGCTCTGCGCACCGAGTCGGGCTTTGTCGACTCATTGGATGGCAGCGATGACTCTGTCAACGTTGGCGTCGTCCTGGACCGCACCAACTTTTACGCCGAACAGGGTGGCCAGACCTATGACACGGGCTTCTTCCGGGACGCCAACGGTGAGCTTGACTTTACCGTCATGGACGTCCAGAAGAAGGGCCCATACTGCCTTCACATTGGCGTGCTTTCCAACGGCACGCTCAAGGTTGGCGACACGCTGACACTGAGCTTTGACGTTGAACGTCGCCGCCCATGCATGAGCAACCACACGGCTACGCACGTCCTCAACTTTGCCCTGCGCAAGGTGCTGGGCGAGGCCGACCAGAAGGGTTCACTTGTTGAGCCTGAGCGCCTGCGCTTTGACTTTACCGCCAAGAAGGGCATGACAATCGAGCAGATCCAGCAAACGGAAAAGCTTGTCAATGAGGTTGTCAACGCCAAGAAGCCCGTGGATGCCATGGATGCGCCCTTGGCATCGGCCCGCGAGATCAATGGCCTTCGCGCCATGTTTGGCGAGACCTACCCGGATCCCGTGCGTGTGGTGTCTGTGGGCGCCATTGTCAAGGACGTGCTGGATGACCCCGTCTCGGAGGTGGCTCTGGCCAACTCAATCGAGTTTTGCGGTGGCACGCACGTGAAGAACAGTGGTGACATCGTGCAATTTGCCATTTTGAATGAGGAGGCCATCTCCAAGGGCATTCGTCGCATTGTCGCCGTCACTGGCAGCGAAGCTCGCAAGGTCGGTCAGGAACTTTCGCCCCCCGCCCCAGTGTCCTCCTTTGAGTTGAGATGGCGGTTGTTTGTTGATTCGGGATGTTACCTGACCTTTGCATGCTACCCGTGGTGATGTTAGGCGCAAACCGAGGCCAACCGCCTGGATGCCGAGGTGCGTGATGACCTGACCATGAAGGAGGTGGTGGCGCTGGATACCGAGGTCAGCCAAGCTGCCATTCCCGCCACACGCAAGGATGCGATTCGCTCCCGACGTAAGTGCTTTTGAAATCGTCTCGTTGGTTCGCGTTCTTGTGCCGACCAGTGTTTGCCCGCTTCCGAAGCAAGGCAATCAGGAACCCCAGTTTATTTTTTTATTATTTTTTTTTTTTTTGGGGGGGGGGGAGGGTGATGCTTATTCATTTTTTATAACTATTTTTGTTTAATTTTTTGTTTTGTTTTGAGTAGTCAAAGCGCTGCACAAGAAGCACTCGGATGTGCTGAAGGAGCGCCGTAAAGCCATGGCGGGCAACGCTGAGAAGCGTGCGAAAGAACTGCTCGAGGAGGAAGCCAAGCCCGTTGTAGTGGAGGTGCTTGAGGTCGGCGCCAACGGCAAGGCCATTGGTGAAGCCCTCAAGGTCCTCAAGGTCGGTCGCCCCGACACGGCCTTTATGTTCTTCGGCGTTGAAGAGGGCGGTGTGGCCTTCAACTGCATGGTGCCAGAGGCACTGGTGGCCAAGGGCCTCAAGGCTGGCGACTGGGTCAGCGAGGTGAACAAGGTCCTTGGTGGCCGTGGTGGCGGTCGCGACCTCGTCGCTCAAGGCTCGGCTGATCAGGATGGCAAGGTTAGTGCCACATTCTGCCCGTACCGACAATGGCCGAACCTGCTGTGCGTGTTGACTCTCACTCTGGCATGCCCCTTGTTTGTCGCTAGGTCCCGGCTGCCGTTGCAGCGGCCGAGGCGTATGCTGCTCAATTCTCGCAGTAAATTCAGCGCCTGCTCGACGGCACAATTGGCCCGAGCTGCCTCGCAACGACTGTCCGCATCCTGATGCCTCGCTAAACTTCGGCGCCTTTTTCTTCTCATGTCTTTTCTTTTGCTGCGCCGATTTTGTCTTTGGCCCATTGTCGTGCTTCAGCGTGTTTCCTACATGTTGCTGACCTGCACCCCCAAATTCAAGTGTTGACTCAGCTCCCTTTTGGCCGAATCTGGTCTTCCAAATCAAGGAAAATTAATCAAGGAAAATGTGAGAAACTCATCATGAGGACTACCAAATGTCAGTCATCGGTGTCCTCCTCTCTTTTGTCTTTTTCTCTCTCTTTCTCTTCTCTCTCTCTCTCTCAATTCATCTCTCTCTCTCTCTATGGGTTCGCTCTCTTCCTCTCTCATTCATTTGTTTCCTCTCTCTCTCTCACTCTCTCACCCACTTATCAAACAACAACAACTGCTGGTGCTGCTGCTGCTGCTGCTGCTGCCGTCCACGAGTTGACAAAGGGCAGCCGAGTGTGGCTCAAATGCCTGCTCTGTCTGAGCACTACAGCAAGTTTTATACTCCTTTGCATTTGAACACTCGACGCTTGGCGTGGTGTTGTGGTCTGGACCACCAAGACGACATAAGTTCAACGTCTGGCGCTTCCTGGCCAGCCCGTCGCCCCTTCCAGACAACACACCAGACCTCAGAACTGGGCGCGCCTTGGGGCTTTGGAGCGCTACAAACCTGTGATTTCAAAGGCAGCAAGGCTGAAAGCAACAACTTGCACACACCGAAGCGGCCTCGACCGGGTTGCTGCTGCTGCTGCTCTGCTGTTCAACCAATGCTGGTGGCCCGACCGTCATGTCCTTGAGCATTGCGGCCTACACCTGGCCTTGAGCAGTTTGCCCCGTTTCCCTTGCCCTGAAGCGTTAGGTTTCGGGTGAAATCATACTTGCGTGCATAGTCGATTGTACCCGCAGCAGCTCCGACCACTTTTATACGTTCTTGCGACGTCTGCCATTGACTTACACGAATGGCCGACACCTCGGCACCTCCCGCCGGACGGGGCGGGGTGCGTGCTGCACCGCTCAACGGACCTGCGGCCCGTGGCAACCCTGCTGCCCGCTCCGGCGGCCCCCTTCAACCACCCCATGCAGGCGCTGTTCAAGCTTATGCCAAACTCCAAGGCGAAAACTTTGTCTACTACCTTCAGACCCTCAAGGTCACGCTGGGGCGCCATGTGGAAGGCGATGAGACAGCCATTGATGTGGATCTGGGACCAAGCCGGACCATTTCGCGCCACCACGCCACCATCGAGTACAACTTTGACCATCGCAAGTTCATCCTCTACCCCATTGGCAAGAACGGCGTCGTGGTAAATGGTCAGCTATTCCAACCCAACACGGCCGTGCCCCTTGAAACCAAGTGCGTGCTTCCGCCCCTTGAGCGACTCTGAGCAATGCCTTTTCTTCACTCACTTGGGTGCCCACTTTGTAACTCACTTCATGCGTTGACTGTCTGCTCCAGGACGGCCATCCAAATTGGTGATGTTTGCTTCTATTTTCTGCTGCCCATTGGCCGTGTGTCCCAATCCGTGAAGCCCATCTCCCACGCCCCCACGTTGCACTTGGGCCAACTTTACTCGCGAAGCCCCAGTCCCACTAATGACATTGTGACGTACGTGCCAAAGCAATTGTTGCTGGTTTCCTTCTTCGCCTAACTCTGCCATTGCCATATTCCAATCACCTGTCACCTGCTGTTGGAGCAACTCACCTGGCCACAACTTCACTCTCCTCTGATCATGAATAGATTGCCAAACAGTTCCATCGTGACGCGTGTCAACTCTCGCAGCAACTCTCGCAGCAACAGTCCTGTGGCTGGTGGTCGCGATGACTTTGCGGCCCAGTTGGTAAGCTGGCGAGGCCCCCTCCACGCCCAAGCTCAGCTTAATTGGCATCATCTTTGTCGCGCAATGCCCACTCTACCATGCCAGCGAGGCTCATTTGTCTCACGCGTGGTGTCGCGTGATTCCACTGCAGAGTGAGCGACTTGCTCCCATGATTCAAGAGCACCACCAGGCCGATCCCGCACATCTGCCCCTGGATCAGCCCGAGAGCGTGCAAGGCATCGCTGCCAAGGTTTGCCAGAGCAATAACCCCGCTCGCCAACCCCAGACCGTGGTCTCAACTCGTGCCTTCTTGCCGATTGGCCTTCTGACACGCCATTCACTTCTCGCTCTTCTCCTGTGAAATGAAACCCTCCTAGCTGATGAAGATTGCCGAAACCGAGGCACCAATCAGAGACCAAGCAGCCACACCACATGCCGCAGGCCCAATTGCGACCGCCACAACCACCAAGGCTTCTCCAGCCAAGGCAGGAGGAAAGGCTGTCAAAGCGCCACTCAAGTCCCGGAGAGGAAGCAGCACCAGCACAGCGAGTGCTGCCAGCAAATCAAAGTCCGCTTCGCTCGCCTTTGCTGCTCGCCTCGTCTGGCCGAAAAGCCGCATGCATGTCCAACTCGACTGACTCATGATGCCTCTGGACGACTGTGGTTGTGGGAATAGATCTGCCAAGCGACGCACTAGTGAAACAACGAAAGCGTTGGCTGCTGCCATGTCCGTGGTTGACTCTAATGACAGCATGGACGTAAACGATAACCCCGCCATGGATCTCGGAGGCGATGAGCATGAACCGTGGCGTTTGACCAACGCCAAGCCACCATATTCATATTCAACTTTGATTGCACAGGTCAACACTGTCGCCCGCTGCTTGTTTTCGCCCAACGGGCTTGTCTTGGTTTCGTTCGGCTATTCTTCTGGCTTCACCACCCCTCGTCTGCTGGCTCAACCTTGTTGCCAACCTCTCCCATCCGCCTCGGCCCGGGTCACCAAAACACGGACAGGCGGTATGGTCGCGCCCCGACTCCAAGATCACTCTAGCCGGCATCTATCAGTTTATCATGACCACCTACAAGTATTACGACATGGACGATCCCAGTGGTTGGCAGAACAGCATTCGACACAATCTCTCGCTCAACAAGGCGTTTGTGCGCGTCGCACGTGGGCCCGATGACCCTGGCAAGGTAACGCTGCTGTCGGTCGCGATACCTTACTTGTCTTGGCCTGAGGTCGTCAGATACACCTCAGCGGCCCGACCCATGTCACAAGACTTGCACTACCTCACCAGGCTAACCAACGACTTAGGGTGCCTTTTGGAGCATTGACCCCTCACATGCCGAGCAGCTTCGATCTGGCCTCTATCGTCGCCGATCACGTGGTCCCAAAAATGCCACCGGCAAGGTGAGCTGCAAGAGTGCAATTTAGCCAACTCGACGATGAATCAGCTCGTGTGGCTCGCCCGCCTCTTCTTTCGTTCGTTACAAAAGCATTGAACATTGTTCGCGTGGCTATTCTGCCATCGGTCATAGGTGAGCAAGCCAAAGCCCAAGGGCGCATCGCGTCGTAGCCGCACCAGTCAAAACGAGGCAGACGCAAGCCAGGCCTCCCACAATGATTCTTCACAGAGCCTACCTGGGTTAGTTTACCGTGTGTTCTGCTGCTCTTTTTTTTTTTTTTTTTTTTTTTTTACACTGTTCATCGGTCGCCTGTGGCAAGGCTAGACCGCCTCTTTCCAACCTGTCCCAATTTCGCTCATATTGCCCGCATAACCGCTTGTCTCTCTTAGGTTACCCGACTCGATTGATTTCAGCGCGTCCATTGTGAGTTCATTCCACGGCACTCATGTTTTTATTCTTAATTTTTTTCCACTTTCCTTCCATGCCCGACCCTGATCCAGCGAGTATCTCATCACCGCACTGCCTGTACATCTGCCTCTGCATTTGCCTCAGCTCGGATCAAGTGCCGCGTTTAGCAAGACCCAGCGCAGTTGACACCTGGCATGCGAAGCGTCTCTCTTTTGCTCTTTTGCCAGGACAAGGTCCTCTCCTTGGCATTCCGCCCAGTGTCGACTTTGAATTGGTTCATGTCTGTCTGTTGTTTCTTGAGCACCATGATGCCTCTCTCTTTTTGTTTCTCTTCTGCGTTTCCTTTTTCCTCTTCTTCTTCTTCATCCCTCCCTCTTCTATGCGTGACTTTCCCTTTTCAAAGGCTTTGCCTCAGGTCGTGGCTTGTTAGCCGGGGCGCGTCCTCTCACTTTTCCCTTTGAGACATTGCATGGATGTTCAAGGCCCATGTTAACCTTTTCTTCTTTCTCTTCCCAAACTGCCGACAGTGGCTCTTTTTTTTTCCACTCCTCCAGATCTTGATTTGTTTTTTTGTTTTTCTCTCTCTTTTTAGGCTTGGCAGTGACCACGCATGTAGTTGATTTCTGACTCATTTCGCCTGAACAACACAATACTCACATTTTGGGAAGATACCAGTTTTTTTTCGTGGGTACGAATGCTTAAACCTGGGCCTGACGTGACAAGTCGCCACGAAAATGCACTTGGTCTTGGGAATGATAAATCTACGCGGCGCAGACAGATTCACCAGCAAGCATCATATGAGACGTGCTTCGGGTCGATTGAAACGAGCTGGAATGACGTACATGACTGCTTGGCAGTTGTTGTGGCGCCTGGACGGCAATTTCGTCATCAGTGCCAAACACCATCTCTTCGTGGGGTAGCACTTTGGCCGAGACCAAGCAGGCATCAATTGACGCCAGTCGCTCCTAGCATGCGTGGAGGGAAGATTGAGTTGGCCCATCCTCGCACAAGCTAGCCAAGATACATGCGCCTTGGCTGATTACCTGGTACAAGCTTCGTAGTGCTAACAGCTGGTCTGTCGGGGCGTCATCCCCTTGCCACTTTGGTGCTTCCTCACGCAACAATGCAAAGGACTCTTGAATGTGGCCATCGACGGCATGCAAAAGCAACTGTTGGGCCGCGGACTGGGCGGCCCGGCCCTTGAGTGCTTGCATTGAGACAAGCTCGTGATACAAGCGGCGCGTGCGTGCCTCGGCCTGGCGCAAAGCATTGAGCCTATTAAAGACCAGGGGGCACAAACCCAACGCAAATAATCTGAGTCTCGTTGCGGCTGTGACACGACCAATCATGAAGGGGCAACACGTACTTGGCGCGCACTGCCATGGCCTGTTTGGTGCTGAGCGTTGATAGAAGCACACGTTCGGCTGCTTTGGAATTACTGCGCAACAGAAACATGAGCGCCAATGGATTGTGAAAAGGATGAAACACTCAAGGCATCAAAGTATAAACTGTTGGGGATGGACATTCTTTTGCCAAACATTGCGTCTTCGGGTCCATTGGGCTGGACAGCTCGAGCTCATATCAATGGCACGTACCGCTCGACCAGACTTTGGAGATTATTAACGTCCTGCGCCACGGCTTGCTCCTCTCGTCGTGTTCGTCGCGTGGTGTGGCGAGCCTGGTGCAAGCGATTGCTTGCCATGGTTTGCAAGCGCTATCAACCCATGGCCGCCCAAGGTGAGCAAGCTGCAATCAGCTGAAGTATAGTGTATAGTGTATAGTGCAGTACGTTCGCTTGGATGGAGGATGGTGTTGAGCACCTGCAGTTGGGGAGAAATTCGCTTACTTTAGCCTCGCGCGCCTCAAGAGCGCGCTGTTGATGTGGGCTAAGAGCAACACCTCGGAATCGCTCAACCAGATCCGGCTGCACACGGACAGGATGTCAGCAACACATCCGGGGCCAAGATTCGGGGGGGGGGGGAGGGGGGTGGCCCACCAGCAAAAGACTCTACGTACCACTGCTGTGCGCTGGCGACTGCCCTGCGACTGCGCGTGTGTTCGACTCAGTGCTCGAGCGGCAGAGCGTGGTGACGGCTTGCTCTGGTGTGTTTTGTTGCCACGACGCGGCCGGCGTGTCGAGGAGCCTGCAGATGGCTTCGAGTGGCTGGCGTGGGGTGGGTGCGGCATCGGGGTCTCGGAGCTAGACTGCACGCCATTGAGCACCTCTTTCAGAAGTTGCTGACGACGCAGACCACCATGCTCTCGGCTGAGGTCGTCAAGTGGGGGCCCCGGCCGAGCATTGACAAGATCTGGCTTGATCTGAGGAGGCGTCGTAGAGCTGGATTTTGGATCATGGGCAGGAGGCGTGCCAGCAGCGACACGACAATCTGAACTCGCAGCGACACGCCTCTCCGGGCTGGCAATCTTCCGAGTCCAGCGCGAGCCTGCTGAGGCGGTTATGGAGTTTGGATCTGCCGTAGCTGAATGATTCGTTGGATGGACAGCTGACACGGAGAAAGACTGGACTCTTGACTCGCCGTCCCCAACTTTAGCTGCGCTTAATTCAGCGGCATTGATGGGTTCATCCGCAGAGTTTGTTGCTTGACTTGCTGCCAACTGCCGCCGAGCCTGATCGAGCAGCTCGCGGGCACGCGAGGCCACCTCGGCGCGCTCTTGAAGCAGACGATTGCGTATGGCTACACTATCAGGTGACAGCCTCGACTCTGTGTCTGTTGCAGGCGGAAGATTAGGCACAACCGCCGGGGCCTTGGCCGCAGCTGCAGGGACCGTGGGGCTAGCCGGATAGTGATTTGGCCCTGGGCCAGAGCCATTGATTCGAGCCGACTCTTCAATCAGGTCTTGCCCTTGGTCAAAGGACCGCATGGATGCCGTCAGCGGCTGGAGCTCAAGCAGCAACTCGGCCAGGTTGTTGAGGTCCCCGACTGACTTGGCACGCAACCGAGCCGAGCTGATGTGATCCAAGGGCAAATCTTTGAAGGAAACAGTAAATAGCAAGGTGAGAGCCGCCGCATAGCAAGTGAGTCAACACCCATCCGTGCTGTGCTTCCACGAGACTGCGGCAGAAAGGCTTACGAAGAACGTCGTTAGCAATGAAGACGAGGGCGTCGTCGAGCGAGACAAAGTCCCGAGCAAAAATACAGGCCAGAATGCCAACCAGCATGTCCTCGGAGAGATCGGTGAGGGTCAGGCTCTCCGCGTCGGCAATAAAGCTACCAGCCAAGCACCGCCAGCGTGCGACGCACAACGCCGCCGCCTCCTCATCCATAATGATCGCCCAGCATAGACCCTCAACCCAACTACGAACCAGCTCTGCACTGCAGGCTCCTCAAACGACGACACGAAGAGAGAGAGAGAGAGAGAGAAAAAATTAAAAATTTTGTCGCTCGTGGAAATTTCGTTGTGAAAAGGTAAAAACGCCATTTGTATGTTATATTATGAACAGCACATTTCAACAAGTAATCCCCTTAGCTCAGTTGGTTAGAGCGCAGGTCTAATAAACCTGAGGTCGTGAGTTCGAGCCTCGCAGGGGATACACCTTTTTTTGTTTTGTTTTTCTTTCACTCGCCGACAAGGTGTTTCTTTTCGACCGGGTGCGCTCCCTTCACACTGCTGCCGACCAGGGTGGTGGGCCATAAACCAGGGTGCTGGTACATGAACCTGGGTGCGTGTCAAGTTTCTTTTCTTTTGTTCATTCTCATTGAATGTTTTGTGTTTTTTTTTGCTGGGCGTGCTGACAATACATTTTTCTTTTGTTTGGCTACAATGTACGATAACTGGTCATATTTTTATATTGTATTAAGCCGTTCTTTCTTCATCAATCATCCCCTTAGCTCAGTTGGTTAGAGCGCAGGTCTAATAAACCTGAGGTCGTGAGTTCGAGCCTCGCAGGGGATACATTTTGTTTTTTTTGTTTTGCTGTTTCTTTTTGGGCACGAGACGTCGGGTGGTCTGTTACCGCCATCTCAATGCCATGGTCTCTTTATGATGCGTGCAGGTTTACGGTGCTTCCTTCCGCCTGGTTTCGTGATGGACATTCGTCTCAAGGGTTCGATGTGCCATCGTACCAACGTCTAATGATGCGATGTTTACTCTTGGGGTCTCCTCTTGGGATGGTTCAATAACACACCGAGGTCGAGGAAAAAATTTAATGACGACAACATTATTGTTAGATTGATTGGTCAATGACGTGTTGGCCGGTCAGCTGCCGCAAGACACGGCATACGGCATGCGACTCAGCCATCATGCATCTAGGATAGACACCTGCTATCAGGCATGCAGCATGGAGGTACCTCGGCCCCATACTTACGTTACAAGCAAACAAATAAAGAACAAGCAAAAAAAACAACGATAAATTCGTTGAAATGGCATAAAAATTACAAGACGGGTGAAAGCGACGTCCAAGAAGAGAAGCGAATGCACGAAAACGCAGGCACCCTGCCTCTACACTAAAGTAGACGGTCGGATGCGAGCGCGAGTAAATCGACGCAAAGTCTTTCGTTGCACCAATTGAAACAGCAGACAAAACATCCACACGCCCATGGAATGCAAAAGCGGAGCGGTCGGTTAGGATATAAAGCGCCAACTCTCGGAGATCTGAGAATAGGCCTCGTAGAGCGTGAGCTCACGAAGACGCAGGTATTCGGCACGTAAGAAGACAAAGAAAAACACCATGCTGAGACTGTCCACAAAGAGAATCAAATCTACCCAACTAAACACGTTTAGGATGCAGCGGCCTGGCAGGATGGTCTGCCACACCTGCCAGCGAGACACACGCACACCCACAAGGGTCAGAGGGCAAAACACGTGCACCGTGCCCAGCCATACGCCAGATTCAACGCAAGATGTGGCGAATCCAAACGTACCAACGGCGGCAGGGCGTTGACACAGCTGAAAACCACGCCAACAAAGATGAGACACCGCATGCCCACGGAAGGCTTGAAATCGCCCGCATAAAAAACGACGCGCATTACAAAGATCAGCTGCAAGCGACAGGTACAAAGAAGCGTGAGTCAACACCACCAACACCCCGCCGGTAGCATCAACCGGAGGGCTCACGGCGGAGGCGTGACAAACAAAAGTGTAAAGGAACGCAAGGAACGCGCACCTGTAGCAATTGAAGGAGCCACAAGCAAGCAAGATGAGCCCAGTACAGCTCCTGCACAAAATGCACGGCCAGGGCCTATCACCAAGGGCAGTGCAATGGCGCGAAACGACTTGTGAGGTGAGAGGATAAAGGAATGCCCCCCTTGCCTGCTCCACGGTACACACACAAACACGCAGTCCTCCCCAAGCTCAAAAGCAATAACAGACCTGTGCAACCAGACAACCAGTGTACCCGGCAAAGACCAGGGTCAACAAGACCACCGGAGCCCGGGAAAGCGTGCAACAGGCCGCCCGCTCAGATGAGGCTTGCTGGTTATGAGAACGTGCAGGTTTGGGGTGAGTCTACCCAAGGACACCCAAAGGCGCGCGGTTCAAGAGCACTCGCACCTTGGGACGCCGAGTCGGGGTGATAAGCAGCACAGCCGCTTCGCTATCCAACGGAGAGTTGAGACCTGCAAACAGCACAAACAAAGAGTCACACAAAACAGCCTGGCCGAGGTCGAGGGGGCGAGCGGCGGAGCCTTGAGACCAGCACATACTCGGCTCGGCTTGAGGAAACTGGCGAAATTTTCGTTGATGCAGGAGAGCGCAGCACAGAGACACATTGGCAGCACCGAGCATGATGGCCTAAACACCCGCGAGACGGGCAACGTGCAGGCCACAAGGGACCCCAAGGGAAGGTCAGAAAACGCGTCGTGTCATCAACGCCGCCAACACACGGGTTGAGATCGTCATGTTCGCCAGGCCAGGCGTGCGAACGAGCGTGATTCAGGACAACGTACGCTTAGAAGAAAGACGACGAAATCCAGGTCGCCGCCGGCCGAAGCCGTGTAGCCATAGCGCAGCGCACCCAGAATGCCTCGGACAGCCAAGCAGGCAAACGTCAAGACCCAATAGGTATTGGAGATGAAGCTGTTGTGCAGGCGACGCTCAAAAACGACGAGCGAGTTGTATTTGGTGTTGGTGTAGAGGGCAAAGCAGCAGCCCATCACAGCCCAGAGGATAAAGATGCCCGCCGTGATGGGATGCATATCATGTTTGGAAGTCCAATGCGAGACTGGGCAATCGGGCAGGGCATGTCCATGCAAATAAAAACGGTGATCGTCAGGTGCCATTGTGGACAGTCCGCCTACGTGGCGTGCCAAGAGCATTTTCGGGGCTGCTCTGAACCCCAAGTCTACCGTCTTGGATGCCGATTCCTGCTACGGCACCGTGCACCACATCCAAAAGCAAGCCGTTCTCTCTCTCTTAGCGAGGAGGCGCCAGCGCCATTGTTCTGCAAATTTACGAGAGACAGAGAGAGAGAGAGAAGAAAAATTCGAGAGAGAGAGAGAGAGAGAGAGAGAGAGAGAGAGAGAGAGAGAAAGAGTTTAAAGAGAGAGTTTGAAAACTTAAGAGAGAGAGAGAGAGAGAGAGAGAGAGAGAGAGAGAGAGAGAGAGAGAGAGGAGAGAGAGAGAGAGAGAGAGCGAGAGTTTGAGAGAGAGTCTGAGAGTCTGAGAGGGAGCGACATTTAGCAGTTGGCGGTGAGCGGTTTGGTGGTGGTGGTGTGGCAGGAGAGCGCTGGAGTTGGCGTTGATCTGCCTGCGGACAGTATCTGTAGTGCGGGCAGGATACGCGGAGGGCTGGGTGGTGCGTGGCGCATGCAGTACGGAGGATGACAGCAGCGGGCGGTGGTACCGAGTCAGTTCCCACGGGGACACCCACGACTGCGAGCATGGCAGCCAACATGCCGCGTCTTCCCGGGTTGAAGCGTGAAAGCGAGACGATCGGCGACTGGCACTTCGAGACGACCAAACATCACATGCTCGTGTCTCGTTGCCATCGACAGCCTCCGTGCAATGCCGACAGTGAAGATCCGGCGCAGCTCTGTCAATTTTGTGCCATCTCCCGTGACATTTCCTTCCCGTTGCCGGAGGAGCTCTACCCCAACAACACACTGCGAATCACCCACCTGCCATCCCAGTGCACCATCTCGGTACGATTACGAGCCCTTGACCCGTACCCGTCTGCCTACGTGGTGGGCTTTGCATTTTTGCTTTGCCGCTTCGCGAATGCTTCAAGATCATCCGCCTGTCCACTCGCCGCTTGTCGCGTGGCGGTCACTCACAACACAGAGCTACCTAGTTTGATGCCGTGCAAGCGCTTCACGGTGTAAGGGCTGACCAGGACGTGGTGAAGGTGGGCTATGCAGAGGAATGGCAAGAAGCTCGAAAGTAAGCCTGGTTCATGCACCGCCATATTTTCGAACAGCCAACTTGAACCTGACTGTATCGGACGCTTCGGCTGGCCTTGGCCGACCATAGGGCCTGGACTCGCGACATGGAGACGGCGCACGAATTTGATTGGACCTACACCACCGAGTATCAAGGCAATGTGAGCCCTGGCATGATTGCCGAGCCCACGGAAGAGCGCATCGACTATCAAGCCCTTAGTCGGCCCGAGCGCATACTATTTGCTGAAGAGCTATTTCTCTATGCCGTAAGCACCCTCTGTGGTGGTGGCACGGCCAGGCCAGACTACTTGTACATACAAATCGCACATCTCATTCTTTCACCTTGTGACTCGCCTTTTTTGCAGGACGACTTTGGTGATAACGGCCAAGCAATGCTGAGTGTGCGAATGGTAAGAGCCTGACATCATGACTCAGCGGCCTCATTTTGCCACACGATCTCACGGGTGCACTCTTGGCTTGACGCGCGCCTACGCTCTGATGATACGGGTACCAGCGTGCCATGCCAAGTAGCTTTTTGGTCCTGCTACGCTTGATCGTACGCGTTGATGGCCTCTTCATCCGAGTTCGGGACACCCGGTTCTATCATCGGTTTGGCTCGGACGGCGTGATCCGGGAGCACTTTGATTTTGAGGGACAAACCAAAGATCTGGAAGCCGACTTTACTGACCCCAACGAACTACGTGCTGCCAGAGCAGCGTTGTACAACCCCGCAAAGGTACATGCTGCCCAACTCTTGATTGTGAGGCTTTCACATCAGCTCGCGCTCACTGCCGGTCTGTCGCGCTTCAGCTCAACGCCATTATTCCCAAGCTCACGCAAAAGAAGAGCTCAAACGACAAACTGCGCTGGTCAGCATGAGGACGACAAGAGAGCGACCCATGCGTCCGCGACGCGTTTGACTCCCCTGATAAATGCCACACTCAGTTGAGGTGGTCGTTTGGCCGCGCAAAGCCTGTTTGCCACGCGCCCCAAAATAGAGATTGTATCGTGTTTCATCGTCAGGTCACTGTGGAGCTGACGGAGGAAAGTGTCACCAGACAAAATAATGCATTGCGATCAGTTTTGATTTGATCAAAAACTCGTTCCTTTCCCCAAAGGCGCGCATGCATGACACCGTGCAACGGTGCACACCGCAAGGGGGCGGTGCGCAGGGCCCAGGCTGATAGGAGGCACCCCGTTCAAACATGCAAACAACACAACAAGCCACTGGAGCGGTGCAAGAACAACTCAAGGTTGGAGAAAGGATTCACACAAAGGTTATCGGAAACATTCAACCTCACTGTCAAAACAAAGACCGGGGTGCAAGACCAGAAGGCACAGACCCAGGAAAGCTAGGGACATGGAATCTAGGACAACCCACATCTTCATCTCACAATTTAATCATCGGCCATGTCATCAGCCGCGCTCATCATGCCTGGAATGGTGGCCAGTCGCTGTTGCTTTTCAGTACGCGCGGCGGTCAGCTGCTCCTGACGCTCCGCCAAATACAAGCTGTCCAAGTCCTGCCCAACTGCCTCCTTGCACTGGACCAAAAAGTCGCGAAAGTGACCCTTAAACTGCGGCAAGTTATCATCGTATGCAAAAAAGCCGTCGACGATCACGCTCAGCTGTTGCCTATGGGGCGCCGTAACATACGTACAAGCGCATCAGCCGGGCATCTCACCAGCGCCCCCAACCACAAAGCCCCAACCACAAAGAGGCCATGGCTTCGCCAGCATGCCAACATACTTTTGCAAATGCGGAAAAGCCGAGGAGAGAAGTGATGCAGCCCACTGTTCCAGAAACACCTGAAGATGCAGAAACACGACCCAGCGGCAAGCGGTTCCGCGGTTAGTACAGCGCATCAGAGGGAACGAGAAGTTGGGCGGAGCACAACGCGAGAAAAATCAAGTCATCCATGATGCAGGGAAGAGAGTGACCACGGGTGCGCATGGGCAAACTGCGAAAAGACGCACTCGGTTGGGCATGCTGGGGTCCTCCTTGTTGAGGGGAAAGCTCAGCTTGTCATGCTCAACAATTTCAAACAGCTGTGCCAAGATGGCGCTGTGGTAGTTGATGCCTAGGAGGAAAAAATGGTCAGAAGTGAGTCCAAGCGCGAGCGCTGACCCTCACGCACGAGGGTGGGGGTGGTGCTCCTTTGAAGTTTCAACAGCCCTGACTTGATGCTACCATCGACAAAGATTGCCTGCCCAACAGCCACAGCGACAAAGGAAGGCACGCGGTAACAAACCCGAGAGGTGGGCGGAATCAGTGGCAACCGCAAAAATGTTGGTCATGAGTTCAGTGTAAAAGGCCTTGTAGAAATCCTGCTCCAAATTGGGCACGTACTCGAGCTTTTCCAGCAGCTCCTTGACAATCTTCAGAGCCGTATCCGACACATTTCGCATGGGATGCTTGATGCCCCACATGATGGCATAGAAGAACTCAGACCACTGGGGCATCGAGAGGTTACCCAAGGCCTGGAAGCACTGCTGCACAATAGCAAGAAGGAGGTTGTAAAAGGCAACGCGGTGCTCCGGGTAGCCCTCGAGGTCATCCTTGATCATTGAAAGCGTGCTTTCAAAGATTGCTGCAAACACGTTCATGACACACGGGTTCATAGCTTCACGCAGACGGTTGATGATGGTGCAAAAGGAGACCAAAACTTCGTGGTCACGGGCGTCGGGATCCGATTCCTGGTAATCGCCCAAGACTGCCTCGAGCAGGGAGGGAATAATATTTTCCATAACCGCTGCGGGGTCACAGCAGCGGGCAATCCAGGTTGAAACGAAGCGGAGAATCTCGCGGCGAACGGCACGCATGGCCTTGAGGTGGCTGGTGGGGACGGCTTTGACGCCACGCACGCCCTCATGAATGTTGTTGTTGAGAGTGCGGTAGACGGAAAGCATGTCCAAGTAAATAGCGGCTAGCTGGGTCAGGAAGGGGTCGCCGATGCTGCGGCACGCGGCCGTGTTAGCCTTGAGAATATTGACCAAGGACTTGAGGGTGGCAGGCTGCTCAAAGACGGACACATCTTGCGTGGCATCGGCAATGATGCGGGCCCACTCTCGGTTGGGCAGCTCCATGAGCTTGGCGATGAGCTGCGTTTGCATGGTCACGGCTGGAGCCGCCGCGATCATGTGACCGACGGCCTCACAAAACGTATGCACCTGCTGGGCACCGAGGTCAATGGTGATGACGGCCATCTTGCTGAGGATCTCCTCCACAAAGGGAGAGACCTCACCCATTTGCAACTCCACAAACATGCTCTTGCACTTGATGGCAATCTTGATGAAGGTATCGCATGCCATGTCCTGCACACCCTCGTGCTTCTCGTGCATAAACTCAAAGAGCTTGTTGACGACGGTCTTGAGAAATTTCCAGTGTGCGCGCAGGAAGCGCGGGTATTGGCCAACCACGTACATGATGTTGGCAGCAATGGCGGCCTTGTCATCCTTTTTTGTTTGAAACTCGCACAGGTTGAGCAAGTCGCGGATGACCGTCACCAAGAAGCGTTTTTCGTCCTCCACGGTCATGGCTCCGCTGATGGAGCCAATGGCCCAGCACAGCTTGTTGAGGGCAGTGCGATTCCAGTTGACACCCGAGGCCTGACCGCTGAGCTGACGGGTCATGAGGTGCTCCGTGTCCGAGCAATCCAGGTGAGTCAAGTACACCAGGGTGAAGCGCATGGTCTTGTACAGCTCGATAGTGTCCGTATCCTTGACGTGCTCGCGCACGACCTCACCATCGTCCGTCTCAACGACGAGCACCTCCTCCGGTTTGGCCATGTTGTTGATCATGACCATGCGCACCTCGGACATGATGGGTGCGTACATCTCCTTGCGAGTGGAATCGGAGCCCACGGCCAGGCTGCCCGCGCGATATGAGCGATAGCCCGCCGACTCGTTGTACAGGCTGCTGGCCAAGGCATTCCAATATTCGAGGGTGATTTTGAACACCTCCTTGTCGTCAATGTTGGACATCATGATGAGGTAGCGCAGCGCTGACATGAGCATGTCCAGCTTCTCGCCGGCCACTTCAAGCAGAGCACCGTGCTCCCGAAGCCACGAGGTGAAGAAAAGAGCGAGGTAGCGAATAAAAGCCTGCTCTTCCATGGAAGAGGATTCCCATGCACCGCGGACGTCAGTGCCGGGTGGCAGCATCTGCATCAGTTGTTCCAAAATGAGCTGGAACAGCGAAAACTGTTTTTGTTTAATCTCCTCGAGGGTGTCAGGGCTCATGGTGGCAGCCATGTCTCCGGGCAGAGCCGCTACGCAAGTCGATCAAGAAAAACAAACAAAAACAAAAACGGACAGGCGTGAGTGAAAATCAATCAGCAAGACCTCTCGGAATGGCGGTCCCAAGAAAGGGGGCGGATGGCGGGTATGTCGGTTTGGCCGAGCAGCGACAAGCAGCAGACAACTGACCAATTTCGGCAAGGCACTGCATGGTGGCGTTGCGGAAGAGGGGCACGCCCAGGAACTTGGTGACGAGCAAGGGAACCAGATCAGAGCTGAAGACGTAGCCGATGGGGATCCAGTTGAGGAAGCGCAGCATAGTAGCGAGCGTCTGATTGATCAGGGAAGGCACATTGGACATTTCCATGACAAACTGGCACAGCTCAAAGATGGCACCAAACTCGTCACAGAGGGCATCCTTGAGATGTTGAGCCTTGACCTGCACGATGCGACCCTTGGAAAAGTCAAAGACCTCCTCGGACAGGAGCTCGAAAATTTGAAGATTATTTTGACACAATGACTCGCTGGTTTTGCTGGCGCCAACAATGTCGGGTACAAAGGATTTCCAGCGCTGAGGCCACTCTTGCTTCACAATCTGCAAATAAAGGCGAATGTGATGCATCAGCAAATGATGAGGGGACTGCTGTGTTGGACGCAGAGATGTCAGTAGTCCAGCAAGCTACTGCCAGAGGGCCACGATCCAGTCAGCGCAACATGAGGTGGACGCGACCGAGTCAGCATACCTGAACAAGTACGGCGTTGAGTTTGCTCAGGAGCAGCTTCTCTCGCTAGATACGGCAAGCACGGCGATCGATGCACGGTGAGCAATTGAATAGTCTATTCACCAGGCGACGAGCGCTGGGCTCGATATTGACCCCTCGACCGTGGTGGCGGGGTTACCTCAAGGCTCTCGAAATTGGAGGAGAGTTGGATGATTGTGTTAACAATAAAGTCTTTCATGCCTTCCGTCTGCTGTTGGGGCAGGATCTTCCACTCTGACTTGATTTTGTTCAGCAGAATGTTGAGGGCAAAATACTGAGTTTGGGTACGAGGGCAAAAGTGATGAGTGATGTGTCAAATGAGTATGCGGTGGCCAGGACGTCACTGCAGCCACTCTGACTCCTTGAGCGGCAAGTACCAGTCGACCGGTCAACAAAAGAAGGGACAAGGGCAACGAACCTTGGTATTGGAGGAGCTTGACTCTTGCAAGACCTGATAGACACGCTGCCAGGCATCACTGTGACGCTGAAACTCGCTCAGAATTTGCTCGGCCAGTTTCTGTTGCGGGGAGCCGGGTATACCCATGTACAGGTATTCAACCAGCTGGTCCAGCACAGCCACATCGACACGCTCAGCCTTGAAGTCGAGGATGCTCATGGCTTGTTCCTCAGAGAGCGCCATGGCTGCGGTTGCTATTCACCAAGGGGTGGGTCAAGGCTCAATGCCACCACGCCTGGGCCGTTATTTTAATAAAAATTCAATAATGGAAAAGGACGGAAAGAAGCAGAAGACGAGGCTGTCGTCCTGTTTTGGCGAATGATTTTGCCCCTTGACAAGACGGGCTGCTTGGGCGAGGTGGCGGCGGGACGAGCAGGTTTACATGCAGTGAGCCAAGACTAGGTCGCGACACAACGATTTGACGCGGCTCACGATGACGACGCCCAACACGAGACAGGGAAGAAGGGACAAGTGGTGGTGCAAGGGTTAACCGAGGCCGGACGGTGATGACGAGGACAAGTGGTCGTACGTACCTTACCGCCAATGACCCCGACGACAAAACCCGAGAGCGCCCTTCAGACACAAGGGCCAGGGGACCAAGGGGTGATGGCGAGGTGAATGCTATTCAGGGCTAATCAAATGACAAGGGCTAACGGGACCAAGAGAGAGGGGGGGGGAGCGGTTCTGTGGTGGTGCCACCTACTGGGAATCCGAAAGTAGTGCCCTGTGTTGTGTGTGTGTGTGTGCGTGTGTGTGTGTGTGGCAACAAGTACTAACGTGTGTGTGTGTGTGCGTGTGGTGGTTGACTGGAAAAACCGGTTTTTTCGAATGTGCGTGTTGTGTCTTTTGAAATTTTCGTTTGTCTGACAATTGAGTGATTTTTTCGAGACGGCGATGGAACTAGAAACACGCATTAACAACGGCGATATACAACACGTGTTTAGAACAGATGTTCTCTCCACCATCGCCCAGCTTGGCGACGTTACGTGTGTGAGAAGCCGTCAGTGTCAGTCGAATTGAGTGCAGCCGAAAACGGCAGCGCCTGCTGTTGACAGTGAACCGGGACTGACGTCGTAGGGATTCGTAAGGAGCCAGCGCGCTTGTGCTGCTAGCTGATGTGGCACGCTCCTTTTCCTCAAGCCGGCCTTGGGCCCCTTGCTTTTCTCCTGCCTGCGAAGCGGTTGTCCACCAGGTCGGCCTTCAGTTGCGTGGGTTCCATTTTTATTTTTTTGACGCTGTACATGTACGACGTCTGGCTTCGATTCGAGCTTTCCTAGCGCACAGAGACGGAAGTAATCACGCAGCAGACGTGTGCCACCACGAGGACCTTGGCGGTCACTCACAACCAGACCTGGCCTTGGGTCAAGGTGGTCTGGCAACATGGCGCCTCACCCGCCGCGAACCTTTGAGGAGCTGTGTAAGTTTGCAGAAACTTATCCGGCACCGACACAGCGCAGTAAAGCCGATGAAACCATTGAGCGTCTTCACAACAAGGCCATTAGTTGTGGCAAGCAGCAGCTGGAAACGGCTTTTACGTCTCTCTGGCGCGCAGCCCACCTAGCTTCAGCTGCACAGCGACTGCCTGTCAAGGTGAGAACGACTTCTGTGTCACCGCAACTGCTGACATACAGCGTAGGTCGAGCTTGACATCTGATGCCTTTTCGCTTAGGATGCTGCTCAAGCCAAGCGCGCCGCGCTCGTCATTGAGAAGGTCTTTGCCCTCTTGGACACCATCACACCCGCTGTGAAGAAGCGGTCAGTGACTCCGATCCCTCCTGTTTCCTCTGAATTGCAGGGCTCTTGGTCGACCCGGTTTTCGCTGGCTGGCACACTTGCACGATCACTGTGATTGCCGCCTCACTGGACCATTGGGCTGCTTGCAGTTGTGCGGCAGCAGCGACAGCAGCTACGACGGTGGCTGCTGGTAGCTCAACTCCCCATGAGCACGGAAATCCAAAACACTCGCAGAGTCACTCAGACGACCCTTTTGATCTACCCAGCGTTCCCTGCGAGGACTTTCAAAAGTATTATCAAGCGCAACCTCGACGCTCCGAGTCAGAACTGCAAGAGGACGTCGCCAAACTGCGCGATGGCGGTAACCCTGTGGATACAGAGTCCAGCTGCTTGATGCGACAGCAAAGGCCCCGTCGCCAACCCCGCCCACCATTGCATCCTCT